GAGTTAGATAAGTCCATACCTTTTTTCATCTCCGTGCGTGCTATAAGTCTGTTTGACGCACCCACGCTAGCCTAGCTTAGCACAAAGACTGGATGTGAATGGTTGCAGCTTTCATATACTAATCCAAATGAGTGGCAAAATAACGCAAACGTTTTCCTATTTACATGTTGTGGTTTGTATAGTCACAGAGTGTGCAAATATCAAGGTCATATGAGACACAGACATCTTTTGACCGTATAAATACTATATTTTCTGAAGGCGAAACACTGCTACTTGGGCAGAGTGATCGAGATGCACCGTGACGAGGAGCAGAGAGTTCGCTTCGCTCAGCGTTGGAATAAAGAGTCAGCAATTACTAACGTTAGATAGAAAAGCATAGTTTATCATGGGTGTTTGCTTTATTGTATGAGCTGTGACAAAAAACAGGGAAGACCAGGTAATGCAGTACCATGTTTCATTGATTTCCAACCAAAAAACGCACCCAGATTTATAAATATCACATGAATAAATAATTATTATTACAGGAATCAATATATTTTAAATGCAATTTATTAGCTGAACCAAATGTATTCAACAGTAGCCTATATAATATACAGTATTGCATTACTATAGGATAGAATAAGGGGAAAGTAATAGCACAAATTGTTTTTTTGCACAATGAACTCACAGCCTATCGTACCCTTTTGCACGCTCAAGTTCGTTATTTCCATGGTTATTTCAAATTTAGGCAACTAGCGCGCCGCGCGCAGGGTGCAAGTTCAACGCGGTGAACGCGCTCGTTTTTTCCCCAAGCGCGTCCGCACCGCATCAAGATAAAAACATATTCATACCCTAATCATATAATAGTGTCACTAACGTTACATTAGATCTGGCTAATGGCACTGTTACAGTAGGTCATCTAAAAACATGACGATAGAGGCTAATTAGCCTACTGGCTAATTCTGGCACACTGTACATTTAATCATGTATCATTAGTGTGCATTGTCCCTGTTAAATAAACCTGAAATAAATAAATAAAATAAATAAACAGAACACTTACCTCAGCCGCAGGTGATCCACTTGTCCTGTCTGTGCTATCGATGGGATGGCCGTATCCTTCAGCACATTATGGTCCGTGTGGCAAATTCCATTTTTTCAAAATAGTCGTCCTCATTGAAATGTACCGAGCAAACATAATGTCCCTTGATAATCTTAGGTGTGTTTGGATAAATATCCAGAAGTTAGCCATTTCTTCATCCAGTCAGCGTTTTTAGTTGGAATTCAGTGAAACATGGTTACCTCCCCTGTTTACAGTCGCAGCTATTTACAATAGAGCGAAAACCCATGACTCTAAACTACGCTTTTACTATTTATAAATTGCTGACTCTATTACCCAAACACCGAGCGAACTCTCCGCTCCTCACCACAGCGTGTCTCAGGTGATGGTTATTACTCCGTCAAAGTAGCAGTGCTTCGCCTTCAGAGAATAGTTCCCAGGTTTTATACGGTTAAAAGATGTCTGTGTCTCATTTGACTTTGTTATTTGTACATTATGTGACTATACAAATCACAACATGTAAATAGGAAAATGTTTGCGTTATTTTGCCACTCATTTGGATTAGTATGAAAGCTGCAACCAGTCACATCCAGTCTTTGTGCTAAGCTAGGCTAGCGGTGGGTGCGGTGCGTCAAACAGACTTATAGCACGCACGGAGATGAAAAAGGTATGGACTTATCTAACTCTGGGGGGTAAGGTGAATAGGCTAAAGTCCCAAAAAGTCGGAGTGTTCCTTTAACTGGAAGCAAATGACACCGGAAACCAGACACGTTAAATTTACAAATGGCCACGCCCTCTGTTATAAAAAAGGTGTTTCACACAAAAAACATTAATTTTAAACATTTAGACAATTGTTTACTATAAGCCTAAGGGAGGGACATTTAGCCTATACCATTTAATTGGACAAGAATGTAGTGCAAGATTAGTCATACATTTTTCGGATATGTTTTTTCTTTTTTCTAGAAGAGACAGAAATTTAAAAGCACAAAGACTATATTATTGAATGGGATCAAGTGTGTTTTGTCCTTAGTAATAATTCTGTATGAGAGTTAACTCTCGTACCACTGGCCATTTTTCTAAATGTCATTATGTCTAATTAAACCCCACCATCATCTCTTATCGCAGCTGAATATTTGGAGCTAGGGTTAGATGATAAATCACTGTTGTACAGCGCCATCTAGTGTTAATATTCATTAATGCATAATTAATGACGCAATGTGTGCATGCGATATATACAAAGACCCTTTTCTTTTTCATGTATTTATTTGCATTCAAATATGATTCATGTTGCTGTATTTTTTACCCAGTCATGGATGTTTTTCTCAAAAAAAGATTTAATGAAAGGCAACAGACACTGTAAACTTGAAGTAATTGCAAAGACTGGTGGCAAGGACTGGTGTCATTAAAACAGCTCAGTTCACGGTGGTTTGTGTGAAAGTTCAAATGAATGGAATATCATTGCAAACAATACAGTTTGGGTTGTCATAGAGTCCCGTAAAAATAAGAGAAAAAAACATGAGCATGGTACAGACATGAGCGAGCTGTAATGATAAAAACCCAAAATAAATGCTCAGTTAACAGACACACAAACACTTGGTCATGCACAAGCTAAACACATGTAGCTTACATACTTGTGCATGATCTGCCTCACACTCACACACACACACACACACACACACACACACACACACACACAAAAGACCCACACAGTGGCACTCACTTGCACACCCACATTAACTCTCATGGAAATAAAATAAAAAACGTGTGGAAAAAATGTGACACCCTGGTTAAGTAGCATACATCCAAAAATGATTTGTGTTGTAGAAAACGAAATTGAAAATGAATTGTGAAAAATGAAGTCAGATGAAAAGTGAAAAGCATGTCTAAATAAACGGATCTAGCCCCTCCCACACCATAAACCCCGCCCACATCCACCTGAACCCCTGCTTCAGCTCCGCCCTCTGCCCTGCACTGGTACTAGCAACTCACCTATAATATTACACAGAGTGCTCTACTCAATTCAGTTCTCTTCATGATTTTAGTGTAGATGTGCGACCCTCTGCGTGGGGTTTTATTTCGATATCATTTTAACAGGTGTATTGGCTGTTGCTCGGGGAGGTGAGATGGTCCAGTGAGGTAGAGCCAGACTTCGGTCCCCAGGTTTTGATTAGGTTTATAGGGTTGTGTCTTGAGCTCGATGGGCTCCCCCCGGGCGTCCTGCTGGTTCTCGGCCTCGGGGGCCCGGGTGCCCTTTAGAGTGGCTAGCCGCTCAGATAACCCCCTCATACGAGGGAACAGCATGTAGTCGTACAGGATGGCCCCCATTGCACCACCAATCATGGGCCCCACCCAATACACCTGACAGAAGACAAGAAGAAGGAGGTCACTAAATGATCTTGTCTGTCTGTCTGTCTGTCTATCTATCTATCTATCTATCTATCTATCTTATCTATCTATCTATCTATCTATCTATCTATCTATCTATCTATCTATCTATCTATCTATCTATCTATCTATCTATCTGTGTGTCTATCTATCTCTCTATCTATCTGTGTGTCTGTCTGTCTATATCTATCTATCTATCTATCTATCTATCTATCTATCTATCTATCTATCTATCTATCTATCTATCTGTGTGTCTATCTATCTATCTCTCTATCTATCTGTCTGTCTGTCTGTCTATATCTATCTATCTATCTATCTATCTATCTATCTATCTATCTATCTATCTATCTATCTATCTATCTATCTATCTATCTATCTTTGTGTCTGTCTGTCTATCTATCTATCTATCTATCTATCTATCTATCTATCTATCTATCTATCTATCTATCTATCTATCTACCTATCTATCTATCTATCTATCTATCTATCTGTGTGTCTATCTATCTATCTGTGTGTCTATCTATCTATCTATCTATCTATCTATCTATCTATCTATCTATCTATCTATCTATCTATATGTGTGTCTGTCTATCTGTCTATCTATCTATCTCTCTATCTATCTGTGTGTCTGTCTGTCTATCTGTCTGTCTGTCTGTCTGTCTATATCTATCTATCTATCTATCTATCTATCTATCTATCTATCTATCTATCTATCTATCTATCTATCTATCTTTGTGTCTGTCTGTCTGTCTATCTATCTATCTATCTATCTCTGTGTGTCTGTCTATCTGTCTGTCTGTCTGTCTATATCTATCTATCTATCTATCTATCTATCTATCTATCTATCTATCATCTATCTATCTATCTATGTCTCTATCTATCTGTGTGTCTGTCTGTCTATCTGTCTGTCTGTCTGTCTATATCTATCTATCTATCTATCTATCTATCTATCTGTGTGTCTGTCTATCTATCTGTCTGTCTGTCTGTCTGTCTGTCTGTCTGTCTATCTATCTATCTATCTATCTATCTATCTATCTGTGTGTCTGTCTATCTGTCTGTCTGTCTATCTATCTATCTATCTGTCTATTTATCTGTCTATATATATATATATACATATCTGTCTATGTATCTATCTATCTGTTTAGATATCTATCTATCTGTCTATTTATCTGTCTGTCTGTCAATCTGTCTGTTTGTCTAAAGAAGGTCAGGTTTTTATCTTACCCAGTGGTTGATGAAATTCCTCATGATAAGAGCAGGAGCGAAAGACCTGGCTGGGTTCATACCAGCGCCAGTGTAGTACATCTGATTCAAACACAAATAACATGGGACATTTTTAGTGTACTGCACAATAAAAAAAACTCAAACATGAGAAGAGAGTTTATTCTACTATAGTTGCGCTCACCCCCATCAGGTGGGCCATGGTAATCGAGAAGCCAATGGACAGAGCGGCAGAACCCAGACGCCCGTTGCGTCTCTCGTCTGTGACGGCGAAGACGCAGATCACCAGCTGCATGGTGAGAAACACCTCCACTGTGGTCGCCATTCCCAGACTGATCCCGGGCTGCAGCTGTAACACACACACACACACAGGGACACGGAAAGTTTTAAAGACCACAACATAGATACCTCTTTGTGTAAGGGCCTTTTAGTATGTACTATACACAGTAAGTATCATTTTAAAAATGCTCTGTCAAACTTTTAGACTCATCAAAAAACAAAAACATCAAAATATGCATTTGTAACAAAAAATTCAAATTTTTTTATCAAGAAAAAATAAATATATATCGAATGAATCCAACATAATTCTTGCTCAGTGAGTCCCTCTTACCGTGTTCAGTGCCAGTGTGCCTTTCATGTTGCTGGGTGTGACTCCGTAGAGGGCCGCGGCCCCTGCCAAGGCCCCCAGGCACTGGGCAAAAATGTAGAAGAAAGCTCTGAACAGGGACATCTGAGAGCCCACCAAGTAGGCGAAGGTGACGGCCGGATTGATGTGTCCTCCGCTGATGTGGCCGATGGATTGGATGAGTGTGGCAGCAGCGAGACCGAAGCACAGGGCAGTGTGGAAGACGTGGTACGGCCCCGAGGTCCAGCGCAGCGCTGCGCCCATCCCGAAGAACACGAAGAACATGGTGCCGTAAAACTCGGCAAACACCGCCCGCCAGAACATCATAGAGCGGAACTCCCACATCGTGACTCAAGAGATCCAACTACAACGAAAACCGAAGCTTTTCTTGAATTCGCAAAACTGCCTTTGGAAGTGTCTTTGGGGAGGGAAAATTGGAATTGTCCTTGTTAGCAAGTCAACAAAAAGTTAAATCCTGTGTGACTTTTAGCTAGTTGAGCTGAAGCTGCCGGAAATAAAGAAATGAAAAAGGGAAAATGGCAAAATTTGCGATTAACGGCTAATAGATCTAGCCGTTAGCTAAGGCTGTGTGGGGAGCCGCGAGTCACACATGTAGCGGCACACAGGTCGTCTCTGCCGGCGTTGCTTCTCTTCGCCTGCACAACACCCAGACTGCTAAAGAAACATGAGGTGTGTGTGGTTGTGTGCGCGAAGAAAATTTGGAGGGTTTTGTCAGAGAGACCTGAACATCGATGCTAAATGCTAAATCTACAGGACTAAACCTAGTTGAGCGACACAGAAGAGGTTACAGAGCATATCCTGCCCACACCAAGTAGAGCTGGTCTGACGGACCACAAAGGGCCATGGGGGCATTTATAATGGCCCCGGGGCCCGGCGTGACGACATAATCCCCCCCGGGAGGCAGCAGCAAAAGGGGGCATCCCATATCGCTCACTGCGCTCTCCATTAAACTCAATCAGAGTGAGATTAAGACAGGGACATCGCGGCTCAAAGTAAAGGGGATGTGTATCTCTGTGGGGCTCTGAAGTACAAAGCTGATCCACCAATAAGATTTTAGTGTGGCACACTTTGAGATGATGAAATTTCCTTTCTAAAAGGATGTAAGCCTATAAAAGCTAAGAGTTTGTAACATCAGGAAAAGGGTTTATATTTTTTAATCAAAACTTGAATTTATTGCCACAGGTTTAGCAGGCGAGTTAGTGCTGACTTTGAACTCGCACACAGGCAGAAAACACACACACACAAGGCACATCGTCATGATAATGTCACGCATCCGCACACACACAATGTCCCTCCATCCCCGCGGCTCAAGAGAGGCCCTGCGTGGAGAGAGAGGAGCCAGCCGTGTGCAGAGACATGCACTGAAACCCCTGAGCACAGGAAACACATTGTTCCTCAGAGCATGAAGCTAGCATGTGCAAACACGCTTTATCTGTGTCTCTGGCCGGACTGAATAATCATGGCACGGAAAAATAGCAACATTCTATCTATCTATCTATCTATCTATCTATCTATCTATCTATCTATCTATCTATCTATCTATCTATCTATCTATCTATCTATCTATCTATCTATCTATCTATCTATCTATCTATCTATCTATCTATCTATCTATCTATCTTTCTATACATCTGTCTGTACATCTGTCTGCCTGTGTATATAAAATCCATTAGGACTTTTTGTTATGCCACTGTGAACACAATGGTATAGATGAACTTCTAAAAATGATTTTCTTTAAAACATCAGTGCAGTTTATGGAGATATGGTGGAATGATGCTGGTGGTTCTGGTTGGTTCAGGGCAGAAGTGATTATACAGAGGTTTGTATTGTGTGAGGAGCAGATCGGTTTTGTTGGGGCGGGGGGGGGGCTTCGTAGCCGGATAAAGCCCTGGAAAATCCCTCTGTTAGAAGAGCTCATGGTGAATTAGGATCGCTGATCTCATCTGTTTTACTCCCTCACTTACACACACACACACATATACACATGCATGCTGAACAAAACAAAATGCTGGCTGGCACTGTGTGGATGTTCTTCATTGTTTATGTGCATGTGTGTGTTATTAATAGCTGCTGTGTATGATGTATGCATGTATACTCAAGTGTAAGTGTGAAACACAACACGCTACCTCGGTGTGTGTGTGTGTGCGTGTGTGTGTAATGTGGAAATGTTCAACATGCTTTCTGTAAGAACACAGAGAATCAAGTTTATTAAATTATGCTACAAGTACAAGTTAAAATATGGATCAGAGTAATTTGTAGCAGAGCAAATCTATGAGAGAAAACAAATGCTTTTTGTGTCATGCCAGGAAATGTATTATAGTTCTAGTTTAAATAATTTATAAATGACAGTTTGATATCAAGTACAGTAAGGGTTGAAGTATCCCATTATTCATAAACCTGAAAGTCAACTTATGCTCCAAATGGTAAACAAAGTAAATCTTGAGAACACATTTATATTTATTCCCACTAAAGATATAATGACACTATCAACAATCAACCTGACACAATAGTGATAAAAAAGCAATAAAATTAAATTTACACTGGTTTTGGTTAAAGGTGGATTTAAAAAAAAAAAGTATTTATGGTCTACACTTTATTTCGATGGTCCACTTTAGACATTCGACTGACTGTAAGTAACTTGTCATCTACATGTCAACTAACTCTCATAGACGTATCAGTAGACTGTTAAAGGGACACTTCACCCATTTGCATTAAGCTTTATATCTTTAGAAATCCAGTCATATTTTGAATGGTCATGGTTTATTCCCTTATTTTTCCCTGAGATGGCAGAAATAAGGATTTAAGTGTTTTACTTTCTGCTTATTATGACGTAAATATCGTAATTTTCCGTCATAATAAGCAGGAAGTCACATTTCATTAAAAAGTCTAGAAACTACAAACATTAGCTCATTATTATTCAAGGGTGTGGGACCCACTCACCCTACAGGACTATTACACATCAGTGGGTGGGACTTTACTTGCAGATACTGAATCAATATCCGCCATCTTGTTTGGAAGCTAAGCTAACAAGCGCTGTGGAGATAGGAAGTATGATAATGACAGAAGAAACTAAACATGATATGGAAGAAGAGGATTTTGAAATTATGCTGCTCGAATCCAATTTTTCGTGGCTATCTTTTACGAGTCGCAGTATAGTGAAGAGCAGCTGAGGCTGATGGAGGAACCGGAGGCGGCTGCCTGTCGCGGTCGAGGAGCCCGGACTGATTTGAGCTGAGGCGGACTGCTGGTGCCCGTGCTCTCGTGTGCACTACAAACACAGAAAGAGTCCGTCTTCAACGATGGCAATTTCTCCTGGACGAAATCTCTGAATCAGACGAGCACACGGACGATTGTGTTGTGATGTGAACCATCCTAGTTTCGCCTGACTGAACATTCAGGTATCATGCAGTAATTCACCGTAGAAATAAATACAAACGAGGAGTAATTCACTAATGAGTTTGCCAATGTAACGTTAACGGGGTTTGTTGTGGGAAGAAGGAGGCGGGAATCGGCGAACATTTAAACATTTTAATAGTAAAATGAACAAATACAAAACGAAAGTATAAGCCAACAGCCCCTCATTGACGACTGATGTCCGCACACAACATAAAATCAAGCCTGTTTCTCTCTCGATCTGCCGTTTATGCTCCCGCTCCTCTGTGAGAGATGCGAGACCGGTCGGTGCGTCTCTTGTCTTTCATTATCACTCACGCCACCGGCCTCGCGCCGTCCTCTCGCGCTGCTCTCACGTCCCTCGTCCTGCTCGCCACAGCCAACTAACTAGAAATTTTGTGTGAAATGATTTTCAAACTCTGGTGACAGCTAAAGTTAGCCTTGTTGACGAAAGAATGATTTCTCTGATGTGTGCGCAGTTCTTTTACATTTCGACTACAAATATGATCCACCTTCAATAAAGATTAATGTTGAAATGGGTGAAATGCTCCTTTAAAGTCTGTTGGGGAGCAAAAAATAAATAAATAGCAAGCTCGAGCCACATAGGCAAACGTTTGGCACTTTTATAACTATCCATGTTCAAGCTGAGCGTCAAAGACTACTTAAGACAGTACAGCTTCTGATCCACAATAGAATATTCTATGAAAATATTTCACTCAATATTTACAGATTTTGAAGGAAATATGTGGTAACATTTTCCACTTGCTCTTCCTCATTTGTGAAACACGAGCAGGACAAACTCCTGTGTGAATGATTCTTAAATCTGTTCTCAATAACTTGCATGGTGCAATTTATGTAAGAATGGTTATAAAGAAATGACACACAATTTGTTCTGGTCATGTTTCACGAATAACACCCTTTGTGACATTGACGAAATATAAAAAAAAAGAATTGAATTGTTGGTCAGTTGAATTTGAGCTTAGCTGTGCTCCAGTTTGTTGCTTTGCTTGTTTCTCATGGCGCTCTGTGTGACGGTGGACAGGGACGATCGAGACACGCTGGCCGTCTCCACAATCTCAATGTCCTTACAGGTCAAACAAGCCACCAACTTCTGTCTGGACGCACTGGGGGCAAAAATAAACTCGTGGGACAGTCCAGCCAGGACTGCACCTAATATTGGCCCGATCCAGTAGACCTGAACACAAGAGGAAGCAGAGACTTGCTCACTTTTTTTTGTAAGAAAACGTTTTCTAGATGTTAATTGCAGAACTGTGTCATTTCCGTTTGTATTAATTAGCACTAACTAGTCAGCAGAGCTGCTTCAAATAGCTGTTTAACTTACCCAGTGATGTTCCCAATAGCCAAGGATTATAGCGGGACCGAGGGAGCGAGCCGGATTCAAGCTGGCACCAGAAAACCTCCCCTGAAATCCACAAACAAACATTTAAAAATGTATACAATAATCATTATTCGTAAAAAAAAAAATAGTTAAAAATAGCTTTCAAATGAACAATAGATTGTGTAGTTTGACTGGTAGTTCACTATGTTTAAGTCATAAGAGATGTACATACACTACCGTTCAAAAGATTGGGGTTGATGAGGTTTTTTATGTTTTAAGTGTCTTCTCACTGAGGCTTCATTTAATTGATCAAAAAATACAGTAAAAATAGCAATATTGTGAAAAATTATTTCATTTTAACTTGATCAAAACTGAATTGTCAGCATTATTACTCCAGTCTTCAGAGTCATTCTAATATGATGCTCAAGAAACATTTTTTAATTTTCATCAATTTTGAAAACAGTATTTTTGTGTAAAACTGTGATCCTTTTTATTCAGGGTTCTTTGATAAATGGAAAGTTCAAAAGAACAGCATTTATTTGAAATAGATATCTTTTGTAACATTATAAATGTCTTTACTGTGAATTTGTATCAATTGAACGCATCCTTGCAGAATAAAAGTATCGATTTCTTACAGCAATGAAGATTGCAGTGATTACAGCAAACCCAATGGCTAAGTTCCCAGGTTCGTTTATTTCTCTCCTGCGTTGATCTTCCACAGAAAATACGGTGAAGCCCAGGACAAACGTGGCAAGCATCTCCATCACAAGAGCTTGGCCGGCGTTCATGTCCACCGGGACCTTCAGAGAAGGAAACGAGACGGGCGTTTTAGATTTGTTTTGTAACATTAAGTGTCATGTTGATTCACTGTGGACTAGAAAGTAAGTGCAAAACATCTTTAAACAGTACATTTCTAAACACAACCATTGAAATATTAATAACAATATAAAATGCATTCTTAAAATCAATCATAACATTTCACAGCTGTAAAACACACACGTATCACAACCTGAAGGGGGCTTTTTACAATAATATTAAAAGGCCTTTTACATTCCAATGAAGAATAAACTATAAATCAGACAACAGAAGTTATAATAGTTCGTGTACAAGAAGTTTTGATCATCTGCAGGCGTTAGAAACACATGTATCAAATATGTTACGATAGGCTTTATAGTAAGCCCTAAAATCGGTGGATGTGAATGTTGTTTCAGGACCAACGGGTTCAGTATGTGTGTGTGTGAACGTGTCCTCTGCACCTTGTTGATGTAGTTCTGTGCGGTGGACTTCAGGGGCAGCGACAGGTACATGAGGCCAGTGGCGAGGATCCCCCCAAACACTGGGCCAGCAGATACACCAGTGCCCTGAACACATCCACCTTACGCGTGGCCAAGAGCGCCACAGTCACTGCAGGATTGACCTAAAAACAACAGCACACTCTTACTTAAACTCAAATCAACATCCCACGGATCATTGTACTTGCGCTCACCAATTCCCGTAGCCTACTATGGGATGAATGTAGTCTCACAATAATGAACACTTGCATCCATGAACTTGATAAATGTTGCAGTTGTTTTACTATCCACAACCAAATGCCTTTCAAATTGCGTGTGCAAAATTCAGAATTAAATTTGTTGTAATTTGTACAAATAGACATTTTTGTGAATACATATGCTTTCTTTTGTATTAATGTCTCATAATTTGCATATGCAACAACCCACATAGCAACACTGTTTTGGCCCAGATCCAGCCTGCATCTGGCACTTGTGGAAAACTGATCTAGCCCACATGCAGCGTGGAATGACGGCCCTTGGGCGGACCGCTTCTGTTTGCCAGATCTGGGCCACAAGCTGGCCATAGCAATGCCACATGTCAGCCAAGAGCAAATAAATAAACCAGAACTGGCCCTTATCTGAGCCACAATAAAATCTGTGTCTATTAAATAAGGAGTCATCTCATCCTTAAGAAGCCTGTTACCAAGCACAATCACTGAAGCAAAGAAGAGAACAGAAAAAAAAGACGACCAGAAACAAAAGATGGCTTTATAATCGTCATGAAATAACCTGATTTTCTGATTTCATTTTATTCTACTCAAGCCAAACAAATTTATTGAATAATAAGTACATGTATACTCTTTTCCAACAGTTCTACAGCAATAAGATTGACAATGAGTACAACAAATTAGCCTATAGTGAAAACACAGATTTCAACAATCAGTGTGTGAATCTCAACAATGGTGACAATCAAAAGTGCCTTGCAGCATTTCATGCTGCGTAGCAGTATTACAAAGCTCCCAGCATGCACCGCATGAACAAATTATACAGCTGAATTGTCCTATTATTGTCCAATATTTTTTTAACCCTAAATATTTGCTGTTGTTTTTGTTGTGACATTTAGTAGCTTTTTTATGATGTCCAGATTGATTTGATTATCTGAATATTTTGTTGATTGTTACCATTGTTGAGATTCATACGCTGGTTGTTGATGTCTGTGCAGTTCACTATAGACTAATTTGTTGTACGCATTGTCAATCTTATTGCTGTAGAACTGCTGAAAACACATTACACATGTTTTTGTAGCTCAATAAAATTGTTTGGCTTGATAAGAATCAAATGAAATCAGAATATCAGGTTATTTCATGATGAAAATTAGGCCATGATTTACTCACCCTGAAGCCTAGGTGTACATGACATTCTTCTTTCAGACAAAAACAATCAGAGTTATGTTCAAAAATGTTTATTTATGTCCCCTCATAATCTTTAATCAAAACATCTTCCTCTTGCAGCGAATATCTCTTCTCTCTGTTTACTGGCGTGAGAGTGGGGCAACCTGTCACTCACAGGAGATCCACCAATAGCAAACCATCCAATCAATTTCCCATCGACGAATCAAGTCCTGCCCCACATTTGTTCAGATATGCCACAATAGGGAAGAAAAAACTATCAAAACTTCTGCCTCAAGCTGACTTTATGCTATTATTATATTTGTGATTTCTGGGAATCACATGGCCTGCCATTGTTAACACTATTAACCAGTTGAGTTAGCAAATAAATAAATCAATCAGTTATTTACCTGAGCCCCACTGATTTCACCAAAGCAATATCCCAGGACCACAGTTGCCATACCGGCAGCCAGTGCAGGGTAGATGGGCCCCGGGGAGGCCCCGTCCGGCCCCGGCACCAAAGAACCCAACACAGCAGATACAAAGATCAGGGAACCAAGAAGCTCTGCCAGAATCCCCTGCCAAAACTGACGGCTCCTCAGCTCCTGGTGTGAATCAAAGCAAATAACTTTACGTTAAACCTGTTATGAAACAGTAACCAGTAAATCAATTTTTAAACAGCTCTTTTTTGTTTTTTTTAAATGTTACAAAATAAGATGACAGTAATTTACATGATGAAAATGTTCATGCACAGAGAAAAATACAAACTTTTTAGTTCAAATTAAAGTCAACCTAAAATTGAATGACAATATCTTGATGATATTCCAAAAGTTTATCTAAACCCAAAACATAAGAGACGGCTAACTGTTTTAAACTAACACACACTAGTGAAAACTACTGAATAAAACGAGACAGTAATTAACTTTTTTATAAGTAACACAAGATTTAACAACTCATTTAATTTAATTTAAGTTGAAATAACAAACATCCAAGTTGATTGTACTTAAAAAATGAAGGCAGCAACTTTTTACAGTAGTGATTTTATAATTATACATATATATATATATGTTTTCCGGATGAGCGGAAGAAGATGATGATGATGACATATATATTTAGATTTACATATAAATTGTAATATCATTTGTTTTATGACGATGCAAGCAAGTCAATAGATAGAAGGATTTTTATAGTCACCATACATTTATTCCATAGTTAAAAGTGGAAAGACATTGACAACTAAAATCAACTGACATAGATGTCACCGAAAATCTTTAGATTGCATTTCATCATAAGTTCACCCTAAAACCTGATCTTTTACGGAACTGGATCCACAGCAAATTGGACGCAAATTGAACTGAATCTCCAACCAATCAATGACTGTGTTTTATTTGTCCTTACCTCTTTTATTGCCATTCCAAGTCTGATCTTATACAATCCGTCCGTCAGTCAGTCAGTCTGTCCTGATGTGTGTGTGTGTGTGTGTGTGTTTGAGGGCACGGGCTGCGATGGAAGGGTGTCTTCTGTGAGAAAGAGGCTAATTAATTCCAGTGGAGGAGACTACAGGAGGCCCGGCACAATGGGATCACCCCTCCCTTCCTCCCGCTAAATGCTTAGCAGTGCTGACAAACCTTCACGGCTGCTCAGCATGCATCATAAACATCAGCTTCAATCGGGCACGGGGAGCTTTAATGCCCTCGGCCGCTCGCATTCGCCTGCCCCGCAGACCCATTGAGCAACTTCAACCCCTAGTGCAAGGACTGAGGGTTTGAGTCTTGGCCAATAAGACTGTTTTGGTTTTTCGTTATCTGCCACTGTTGGGTTTCGGCGGCAACGTCCTTTAATTATAAACGAGTGAAAGTGCACACATATATTATCCATTGTTTCTCGCCTTTCATCATCCTACTTGTGATGATTGCCATGGCGACAGTCTGATTTAGTTGCCATGACACCTATTATGATGCGGCAGAGGTAGACGGCGCTTTAAAGTGGCCAGTTTTAGATGAGCTAAACATGGAATCGGGACCTTTTATTGGCCTTTAAACACTGTGAAAAAAAAGGTACAGCGCTGTCACTGGGGCAGTACTCTGGTACAAAAGTACTAATATGTGCTTTTTAAGTACTAACATATACATTTACCATTTAGGTAAAGTTCAAAGATAAGGTCCAAATTTTAGGTAAGGTACAAATATGTACCTTTTTACTCTTGTACTGCCCCAGTGACAGCAGCGGATACACGTTCAATTTAGGCCCATTCGCACTGGATATGCCTAATACAGCTTCAGTGAAATGTTTAATTTCTAGCATCCTATTGCAGACACACAAGAAACATGCAATTAAATATGACTAATTGATATCTGCGGTCTTTAGCCTCCTTGAAAACAAATGCTGCGCTGCCAAAACACTTTAGTCTCTTTGTTAGAGTGCTCGCCTCGCACGCCAGAGACACACATTTTGTTGGCCAACATGTATGTTAGCAATTAGCATCACATTGGTTTCCTAGGCAAAAACCCAATAAGATATTTCCATTGGCACACAGAAAATAAGCTCCAAAACCAACAAAAGTTCATGATTCTTGCACGTTTTGTTTATCATGATAATCTCCACAAATGAACACGACTTTTCTTAAAGGGTTAGTTCACCCAAAAATGAAAATTAAGTCATTCATTACTCACCCCCATGCTGTACCAACCCCGTAAGACCTTCGTTCGTCTTCGGAACACAAATGAAGATATTTTTGATTAAATTTGAGAGCTGTCTCACTACCACATTGGCTGCCTAAGGGACTGGCTCTTGACGGCCCAGAAAGTCAATGAAGAAAATGTTTAAATATCCCAAGTGAATACCGTGGCTCAACTATAAGTTCATCAAGCGACGTATTGTTGTATTTCCACGACGCATGCGCGAGAATTGCGATCTCCTTTAGCTACTTCAGTTCAGTTCTCGCGCATGCGTCGTGGAAATCTAAGGAAGTCTCGTTTCAGGCCAACAAGGAAGAAAAAGTCGAATAAAGTTGTTATCTTTGTTTGTTTTTTCGCACAAAAAGTATTCTCGTCGCTTGATAAACGTATAGTTGAGCCACGGTAGTCACTTGGGATATTTAAACATTTTCTTCATTGACTTTCTGGGCCATCAAGAGCCACGTCCCTTAGGCAGCCAATGTGGTGGTTATACAGCTCCCAAATTTAATCAAAAATATCTTCATTTGTGTTCCGAAGATGAACGAAGGTCTTACGGGGTTGGTACAGCATGGGGGTGAGGAATAAATGACTTAATTTTCATTTTTGGGTGAACTAACCCTTTAAGCCTAAATACAATCGGCAGAGGCTATAAAATGAACTCCACCATGGTCACATGACTTGAACTTCACCATGATTAAGCTTCAAGTCTTCTTCATGTCTGGAGATTGTGATGGCCGTGACAGGGTCTTGATCTGGTGGTCCTTTATCCACACCTGGACAGAGCGTCATTCTGCAGGGGAAAACCTTTGATTTGGGGAACACTGTGACCCCGTTTACACCTGGTATTAAAATGCGATCTGTATCCAGATAAGTTATCCGGATAATAAAAAACGCATGTTAATGCAAGGTGTAAACGCGTTGTGATCGGATCGTGATCGGATCTGCCTGACCACATCTGGAGGTAGTCTGGCTCGCATGTGTCCGGATCTTTACTAGGTGTAAACGCAATCTGGTTGTTGAAACCACATATGTATATTTTACTCCTCCCAAAAATGCTAAAAAATAAACGAGTGAGAGCGTGTTATATAGGCTATATGTCATGTTATAGCCTAGTCAGATGCGACACGCGCACGCGACACGCATCACCGCAGATGAGCAGCTGAGCGTCTATTCATCGTGCAAAGATCGCAAATATAAGTGAAAGTAAGTCACAGACGCAGTTAACACATCTTCAAGTAAAGAAACGAAATTATCTTACCAGGCCTGTTGCCACTCTCTCTTATTGATGTCTCTGATTTGGAAATTAGCTGATGATCAATAAAATGCCGCTCAGATCTGTTGCTTTTGGTGGCGTGCAATCCAATAAATCTGCGCAGGAGGTGAAGATCGGATTTATATCCGTTTTGCAAAAACACATTTATGTGGCCAGGTGTAAATGGAATCAGTACTTATTATCCGGATAACTTATCTGGATACAGATCGCATTTTAATACCAGGTGTAAACGGGGTCTGTGAGAGCAGAAGGAAGCATGTTTTCTTCCTGAATAACCTTGTATGTGGATTGAGTTGCGCGTCCTTCACAAAGACAGAGCGTGTCGTCCATCACAATCTCCAGACCGGAAAACCTCTGGAATAAAAGCAAGAGGGTCACCAGCCATTACATTATTATTTTTGTTGTTGCCAGGAGTCGCCCGACAGCAATGTGACCGACTGATAGGGAACATGCCAACACACATGAAAGCTGTGATTGAAAATTGATTTCTGAACTGTTCCTAAGATAAAACAGTAGTATTGTGTTGTTTAATGAATTGACATCATAGTGTGATTTAAGTGTCCAGATATTTTGAGGCCAGTGTGGAAATCTCTTTTCCTGTATCCCAATTCAGATCCTTTCGAAGGACTGTGAAACCCCCCGGGATCAGGGATGAAGACCTCTACTCTAACTTTACCTTTCCTAACCCTGTTCTACACATTTCTGTCCTGCTCTTTTCTAGTAATCCTTAGCTGGCAGTTTGATGCTGTGTGATGCACTCTGTGCTGTTCCTGTGTGTGTGTGTGTGTGTGTACTGTTGGTGTCAGCATTCTCTGTGTGAAGAATGGAGAAAAAAAGGTTTCTACACTGTCAAGTCGACCTCCCCTCGCTGGCCTACGCCGGGTTTAGGTTCACAAAAGAGGGGATCACTGCTCCACAAACCACCAGCATGAGGTGGATTACAGGCGGGATACGCACACACACACACACTCTTCCCCCCCCCGACCTCTCCAAGTCAGTGTTGACCTTGATCTAGTCTCAGAAGTTGAACTTTCACTCTGACCTGTGATCAGCCTATAAGCAAACCATATCCAAATCTAGAGGTCCGACCCGCAAATGTTGACGCTGCAAATGATCTTTCTTTACACTTGATCACTGACCTTGAATCTCATTAAACCTGTCAAGGTCATTATTCAACCCAAAATCAAAAGAAATATACAGCTCTGGAAAAAATTAAGAGACCACTGTTTCTCTGGATTTATTGTTATGTGTCTGTTTGAGTGAAATGATCATTTTTGATTTATTCTACAAACTAGTGACACATTCTTCCAAATTTCAAATACGACACCATGTTTTCAGACAATAATGCAAAGAAAACAAGTTTATATTCATTTAAAGGGATAGTTCACCCAAAAATCGGAGAGCTGGATCACTCCTTCATACTAGTCCATAGGCTTCTTGAGAGATTGAAAATTGCCAGCCCCGAAAAGTTGTTAAAGACATTGTTAAAATAGTCCAAGTGACTACAGTGGCTCAATCTTAACTTTATCAAGCGACGAGAATACGTTTTGTTCGCAAAAACAAACAAAAATAACGACTTTATTCAACCGGAGCCATTTCAAAATGGCGGCTATGTGAAATCAGTATATTGTTGCATAGCAAGCAACATGACATAACAGAAGTGACATATAAGCCTATTTTATTAAAATATTAATATCATACTCGTAACGAGATGAGTGATATAGTGGCATACATCCATCCCTATGTTTTTTTTTTTTGCACGTTTGCCGCCTTCTTTTCCCCACTTCTCCCGCCCTTTCTACTGACGTCCCCTCGGGTTTCCCTACTGGAAGCCTGGCGTCAAAGGTGAAAGACGATTTTTTTTTTTTCTCCAATTGAAATAAAGCAAATACAGTAATACTTCCAGAGACAGAAACGTGGACGGTCCAGGCCCAGCTGGGACAGAGAGGTCAGGATACCTTCAGCATGTGCTGCAGACACACACACACACGCCCCGGGGATCTGTGCGACACAAAGCGTGAGATACACTCCGACCACCTGCTGCTCGAGCCTGTGATGCTGCGCTACCAACACAACACACGGGTTTCCATGCCACAGACTATCCTCTCAAAATACAACATTCCCACTCCGTCAAGCGCAGTTGCTGAAAAACGTGTCATGATGTTTATCCCGTGATAACGGTCCTAAAATCTCCACTCCAAAATATTAATAACAGATTTTCTTACCAACCTCGGTGGCTTAATCAATAGCAATCATAATACCAGCACGAAATAGGCTTCTGTATTTCACTATTAAGATACTTATAGATGCTTACAAGTGAATAGCCTACCTATATAAAGCTAGGCTATAGACTAAGCATCTATAAAAGTCATGTTGATCAGAGGCATTAGAAATGTGCGTGTCAAATATGACACATTAGGGCTCATTCACACAGAATGTGTTAGAACAACAAAAACATGATGCCGTGGCCCACGGGCAGCGGACTAGGGAGAAACACAAGGTCTTGGGACCTTAAAGTCCCCCTCTATTCAATCATTTTATCCCTTAAAACTCACCAAACTTTGACCACCAAAAGGACATATTTATAAGTTTTTTCCTTGAAAAATATCTTGAATATCACTCACTCACACCAGCTCAGAGATCCATTAAGAGACACATTAAGGAGACCAGATGTTCGTCTACTAGGTGTTTTATTTCTGTTACAGTACATTCTACAGATGCACGCGTGTTACATAACCTTGAAACAACATGGTCATTTAATGTCGCCTCTTAAAAACGATATATTGGTCCTAAAAATATAGAAAGGAACAAATTTAAAGTCACAAAAACTGTACATTATTAAAAATTCACTAACACCACATTTGGTTGAATGTTCTAGTACTGTCTTCAGGTTTTCCATCTGTTAAAAAAAAAAAATTAGGAGAAGCAAATGTCCCTTTTTGTATGAGGAGGAACAGAGTGAATGGTGCATCTCCTGCTCAGTGTATGAATGACCATGGATAGTGTGCTCTACTGCGCTCTCCTCTACTCGGTGTGTATCCTGCTTTGGAATAATAAGGGGGAGCAATGAAAACACTCAGATTTCGCAAATCCTTATGGGTCAGTTCAACCACTAATGACGCAAGGCATTTTCATTTGAGAAAGCATGGTTACAATATCCTTTTTGATGGAGTTGGTCCAGGTTCAAACAATCACACACACACACATCATTAAAACACATAAAACAGTCTAAACATCTGAGGATGGATCAAGGGTTTATAACAAATCATCATGTTCATGAAAACCAATAGCAAAGCGGATACAGTCACACTGAAGAGACAGCGAAGATTTTGTTCCAATGAAAATAAGCGGCGCTAACGAACCTATACTGTCATAAGTACGTACATATCCCTTCCATATAAACCAATATATATATACGATCTAAAGTTTTTTTTTCCCCACAGACAATAGTCATACACCAAGCAAAAGCTTTGAAAATGGCTATCTAGCTAGCGGAGCTTAAAAATCCAGTTAAAACCGGCCTAAATGATTCAGCTATTGGCATTACGTCAGATTTCATCATGAACGAACACTGATTTTCTGGGTTTAGGGGGCATGACAGAAAAAAACAAAAAAAAAAACGAATCCTTAGTAAAAGATGGCAAACCTCCAGTTCAAAAGACCAATATTCTACAAGCAAAAGACGTGATGAGTTACACGTGATATAGCATGTTTACTGGCCGTTTCATGAGTCACTTATACATCTCTCTACGACATGTCTGTACAGATTCACTACAGTCTATTGCTATTAAATAATCCCAACTATTTTTTTCTGTCTTTAAGTGTGTATATATAGTATATAATGAAAAATATACTGAGGAAATTGCTTCTAGTCTCGAAAGCACGTTACGTTACATTTTCAATCAAGGGGACACGCGTGGTCCACGAGCAGTACGTTAAGGAGCAGAAGGCGAAACAGTGAGAACGTCCTGATAGAGGTGTGTCTGCGACACGTGACATCAAGTGTGACCCAATCAAGTCCTGTAGAAGTACTTCAACCCCCAAAGGAGTGACGGATGAAAGCGAATTAAGATGAGAAGTTTGTAAGCCGTAACACCAGGTGATAAAGAAATGTCTGAACCTTAAATCAAGGTGGGTTGGGGGGGAGGGGGGCAAAAACAGATACTCGTAAAACCAACAGAACAAATTTATACATATATCTACATGTGTATGCATACATAGGACTGGAGGGCTGTCCAGAAAGAGTTTTTAGTAGTAAAGGAGCGTGGCGTCCCTCCCATGCAGCAGAGGGCAGCGTCTCTATTGGTCCTTGTTCTCGTAAAACTCTGCCCAGCGGCTCTCGAAGAAGCGGCGCATGGAGTGGCCGGCCTTGCCCACTTCCGACGTGTCCTCGTTGAAGAGTTCGCAGTTGTTGAAAACCAGCTGAGCGTCGGCAGCAAACTCCTCGCAGCTGCAGTACCTGAGAGACACGGACGTGTGTAAGCGGCTTACGACAGATTGTTGCTTTTTATTCAGTTGATGCCTTAACAAAACTTTGGAAATTGGACATTTAAGAACTGATAAATGTTTGAGGAACAGTTTGAATATTAGTTCACTAGAATTCATTTAATAATATTAATTTAATTTAAAAAAAAATGTGAATACAATAAAATAATATAGCTGCGAGAAGCAATTGTCGGGGTTCAAGTGGTTTGAGGCCTTTAAGCACATGCGTATAAAGACTAGGGGTGGCACGGTACATGAAAAAACACCCGAACCGTTCGGTTCGCTTGTCTCGGTTCGGAGCGTGTGTGCGTCTCACGGTTCGACGCATGCGCAATGTAACCTCGTGCCCGTATGTGACGTGTGTTTTCTTTTCGTGCGACATAAGCTTGTTCGACTTGGACCGGCGCTGCACAGAGCGACCGGTGAATAACATCACACTAGAGCGGGAACGACGGCTCCGTCACTCACTTTCGCGGTATTTGATGTCATTACCGATCGCTCTGTGCAGCGCCGGTTCAAGTTAGTAAACAAGCCAGTAAAAGTGGAGTATGGAGCGCTGCAGGTCACGCCGCAGGTGCAACATTTGCAGGTCAAATGTTTCCAAATCCTGCACTTTAATTTAAACTGAAAAAGGGTACCCTCACTTTTTGGGAATAGAAGCATTGTTGATACTGTTTTTTGTGTTGAGGTTGAACTTTTCACTTTATGTTTATGGCCTTTGCTATTTCTATAGCCTAATTATAGGCAATGAGGTTTCATGTATATTGACTTATTCATAAAAGACAGTGTAGTTCCTCTTTTTTTCTTTTAAAAGATAGAATTTTTGTAAGAGCTACAAAAGTTGTCAGTTCATAAATGCAAGTTAATTTCTTTGTGTAAATAAGATTTGTGTGATAAAAATGCACAAGTTCTTGTAGAGATAGTGTGATACACATTCTCCTTTTTTTGCCAAATAAACGAAAAGCATGTCAATTTCTTCTCTCTTGCTGTCAAAATCTCACCTAGCTTTCCTCTGAGATAGTCCCAAAATGTGCTTAAAGTCAAAGAGTCAAATTCAGTTTGTGCATGATTGCATGAATATAATTTTTTTTATACTGTATCCTAAAGTGTGGATAATTAAGCTCTATATCACATGCTGAAGTACATTTCTGAAGTGTTAAAGATGAAAAGAAAAATAAATAACAAGAACCGTACAGAACCGAAAACCGTGACACTAAAACCGTGATACAAACCGAACCGTTGGTTTCGTGAACCGTGCCACCCCTAATAAAGACATGTTTTATTTAACAAGCCTGTTTCCATCTCCATCATAGATGGAAAGACCATTTACAGCCAGTACAGTTTAAACAGTTATAGCGCCACCTATGGTCTGATCTTCATAAAAGTTTGCATGCTTGTTTAAAACCATGTTGCATGCTCTCACCTATTTTCGTGAAGTTTCGATGTTTAATTTAGGAACGATAGGCTTTTGGGTAGACTTGGGCACACTTGTTTTTTAAATTACCCTGCTATAGGCATCCAAAGTAAAACCTTTTTTGATAACTTTAATTGTGCCACAGAGATTTTATTTGAGGTTGATCCAAAAACCTAGGACTAATTCATTGGTTTTTGAAATAATCTCCCATATTTAATGAACGATTCTATGGACAGCAGCGGTCCTAGAGGCAAAGACACTCAGAATGAGTAAAGTCAAATATATTTATATAGCGCTTTTCACAATACAGATTGTGACTCAGATATGAGTTATAGACATTCTAGTAAAAGTGGCTCCCCCCACTTCAAATATGTATTAAAGTAAAAAAAATTGTAGATTTTAGCATGTTGTTTTTTTTTTGTTTGTTTTTTTTTTTTTTGCTCCCCTCAATATCCTCCCTCGGTAGAAGGTTTCATGGGTCATTGAGGTTTACCCCAATATGTTTGTATAGTTCACTTTTTGTTTGTATTACATCCAAGACTGTTTATGAGTATGTAATGTATAATCAAGGCCTATTGGGTCCTTGATTACTTTATCACTGGGTACCGAGTCTGTCATACTTTTCTTGTTAATTGTTTATTTTTATTTTTTATGTACATTGGCAGATGGATTAAGGAGATGTTTGACAGGCAGTACCATGTAAAGACTGTGATGTATGGACCTATAAAATAAACAAATAAATGTAAAAAAAAAAAAAAAACAACTATTGACAGACTATCTAGCACTAGATCGCAAAAGTAGGTTTTTCAAAAAATCAGAAATACCAGAAAACTTCAAGGCATGCATTTTCTATCGCTTTGAGCCGATATAAGACATTTGAAGCTACGAACGGTTTAGGAGTTATGAGCCATTTTGAGCGGTGTAGCGCCCCCCTCAGGCCGAGTCTTGGTGACGTAGTAGACGGTGTGAATACAACAAGCCCCCAAAGTTTCAAGTCTCTACGAATAACGGTTTGGTCTGCCTGGTCACTTTTAGGGGAGAATGCTTATCCTTGGGAAAATTGAACAATTACAATACCGCTACACGCTTGAATTCCTAATAAATAAATTAAATTAAATTAAACAAATGGTCAAATTGATAATATTTTATCTTTAAACCCTCATGACTCAACAGTGCAGTAATGTTGTGATTCCCTCTTACCCTCCCTGCAGAAGTCTTTCCCTCATTGTGAGGAAGTCCATGGGGGTTTTGATGATGCGTCGGTAGCCGGGCACCTGGCGAGGGTTGACCGGCTCCAGGAAAGGCCAGGCGTCCGAGTGAGCCTCCATTTCCATCAGAATGATCCTACAGCACATCAAACAGTCATTATTTAAATGTTGCATTTACAAATGAGTATTATGGGAACGTAATATTAGATATATTGTTTTAATATTAAATTTAACTAACAATTTAATTATAATTTAAAGAATCTTTAAGTGCCACTATTATGTCATTTAGGTTTACATGCATCATAATATACATTGCACATCACCTCATTTCTCAAAGTGTCTGAAAAAGGCCCGATAAAAGATTAAGTCTCAAAAATCCCTTCTTTCCGAGAGCCTACTCTGCTCTGATTGGTCAGATGATCCAGTCTGTTGTGATTGGTCTACTCTGCTCTGATTGGTCAGATGGCCCGGTCTGTTGTGATTGGTCAACTCTGCTCTGATTGGTCAGATGGCCCAGTCTGTGATTGGTCTACTCTGCTCTGATTGGTCAGATGGCCCAGTCTGTTGTGATTGGTCTACTCTGCTCTGATTGGTCAGATGGCCCAGTCTGTTGGGATTGGTCTACTCTGCTCTGCTCTGGTTGGTCAGATGGCCCGGTCTGTTGTGATTGGTCAACTCTGCTCTGATTGGTCAGAAGGCCCAGTCTGTTGTGATTGGTCTACTCTGCTCTGATTGGTCAGATGGGCCAGTCTGTTGTGATTGGTCTACTCTGCTCTGATTGGTCAGATGGCCCAGTCTGTTGTGATTGGTCTACTCTGCTCTGATTGGTCAGATGGCCCAGTCTGTTGTGATTGGTCTACTCTGCTCTGATTGGTCAGATGGCCCAGTCTGTTGTGATTGGGCTACTCTGCTCTGATTGGTCAGATGGCCCAGTCTGTTGTGATTGGTTAACTCTGCTCTGATTGGTCAGATGGCCCAGTCTGTTGTGATTGGTCTACTCTGCTCTGATTGGTCAGATGGCCCAGTCTGTTGTGATTGGTCTACTCTGCTCTGATTGGTCAGATGGCCCAGTCTGTTGTGATTGAAGACTCGTTTCAGGATGTTCAGAATCGATTCTTTCTTTTGAGAGACAATAACTCCATTTATCATGCACTTTAACTTTTGAAACTTTGCAGAGCTTTTACATTCACAAACAAATACATTACACACTAAATGAAAACGCATATTAGAGGCACTTTGAATATAAACTTATTTGTCATGTTTTTAAAATGTCCCTGCTGGTTGATTGAAGAACTGTTGAAAGACTCACTCGCAGTAGGTGAGGTCAGGCTGGTTTCGTGTGGTCATCCTCCTGCGCTTTGAAGGGGAGATGCTCGTCCCACTTGATGAAGCTGGAGTATCTTTTTGTCGTGTGGTCATGCCTCGTTTGTACCCATCATCCTCATCTGAACTATCTTCTCCAAGGCGCCGTTTCCGTGGCTTTGACCTCTGACGAGACGAACGCTGTGATCTCGGAGAGTCTCCGTTTTCCTGCAAAATTTAGTTTCATAAACATAGCTAAAGAAAAAGATATACAAAAACAAACCTCATGCTCATATCAAAACAACGTTAATTGGACGGAAGAAAAAACAAGACAAAAACAGCAGCAGGATGTTTCATATTTGACATACCTTGGCAACACAGGTGGGACAAAACCAATCGCCTTCTGGGACCTGCATGACCTTTGGCCTCAGGCAGAACATGTGACACCCACGATCACAGCCGTCACACAAGAGCAGGTACTCGTCGTCATCACCCTTACGGCAGACCTGACACGTCTGTGGACACACAAACATCAGTTTTTACATCTATTCGTGAAATATTTTGACTTTCTTCTCAAAACTAGTAGAAGTGACTGTTACACGGCACTACTGAAATACACCCGCATTTGGCGGGTGTTAGTCAAGCCCTATATGCATACATATATAAGAATGATATCATAATAATCATACAGGCTCTGAAGCTGAGCTTATATGTGTGTGTTCCTCACCACTTTGATGATGGATCTCTCCCATGCGATGGCTTTCTCCAGCTGTAGTAGACAGAGCGAGACTTGAGACGCATTGCGGCAGCGGTCCAGGCCCTGCCGCCACGTCCTCAACCTGGGTGTGATCTCACTTTCCAAGCTATAAAGACAAACACGCATGTTTGATATGCTCCGGGGCACATATAATGTACCGTATTGCTTGAAATATGATTCCTTTTGTTGAAGGTTGAAAAATATGATTACATGGGATAATAATGAAGTTATGATATTTGATGGTAAAAAATAAAAATAACGACCCTCAACTCTCTGACTCACCTGACAGCATCTAACGGGACCTCCTCGCCGCCGGGCGGAGGGGTGAGAGGGGCCAAGCGGACCACCTCTGCCAGATTCCACAGCGGCTCCTTCAAATAACGCCGCTCAATGTTACGCTCAAGATTGGTCAAGCGGAGAACGGCCAGGTCCAGGGGGTTGCTGGGAACCCGCAGGAGGTCAGACCATTCCTTTTTAGTCTTGACCATCCAGTCGTCCTTGGGATCAACCTCATGCTCGTAATACTGCAGGTCGTCCCGCGAGGAGTCCGCCTCAGGAGGGGTATAGATCTGAAACAAGCACAAATGTCCCTTGTGGTAAACTTTCATTTTAAATTTGTTTGCCTAACTTTTCTTAAAGGGCACCTATTATGGAAAATTCACTTTTACATGGTGTTTGAACATAAATGTGTGTTGGCAGTGTGTGAGCAAAACCACCCTAGAATGATAAAAATCCACCCAGTGGTTTTTTTACAATCTCAATAAATCATATGCACTGCCTCAGAACGAGCTGTTCTGAGATTCAGCTCTTTGTGACGTAGAACGGGAGACAGGGGGTTGATTGACAGTGTGGCTGTGGCCTAGACCCCGCCCTCGGTGATCTTTACACATCATCCTCCATTACCTGTTATGTCTCTTGGAAACATAAGTGTTCTGTCGTGGACTCGTGGGTTAATCCTGTTGTTGTGGCTTAAAAGTTAATCCTCAACTGTGGATCGTCATCTACTGTTTGCGATCCACCGTCACATCCAGTAACAGTAAGTGTGTTTTATGATTTTTGAGCAAATAGTCTTTTCAGTCAATGTCAGCCAATTCAACAACAAATGCGTCTAAAGTTGTTGTCGTCGTAGGATGTCTGTGTAGGCTATATAATTTAAACCTTGTTTGTATAGTGTGTAACCACACGTTTATATATATTTAAAGATATTGTATTAAAAACTGCATATGTTGTTGTTCTGTATGTTAGCCATCTCCTCACATTTGCCACATAAGCACCCGTATGACAAGTAAACATGACGCCACAGGTCCCCGTCCCTCGCATAAATGTAATTTCGCTTGTACGTAGCAAACTTTATCACAGTATGTGTATGTAATTTAAAAAACAATGCGCCAGCATTAGTGTTTATGTGTGTCTGTGTGTGTGTGTTGCACATGCCCATCATTTCAAAGGGAACACGATTACAACGCTAAAGTACATAAATGTATCAAATAACCATACCGAGACGTACTGGTCCATTCTCATTTCATTTGTGTTTATTCTGCCGGAGTCTCTTCGTGCTATTTATATATTCCGATTCAAACGTACGCTGAATGACATTCAAAACAGCGCGTCTCTCACTCTCTTAGCCCTTCTGCTTACCGACTGCCATAGGTATCAAGTTACGCCCTCATCCAAAGGCAGGGCGGGGATATGCAGCTCATTTGCATTTAAAGCCATATACCTCCAAAACAGGTCATTTTTAAGCAGGCCCCAAAATGACATTTTCAAATGGTTATAATAAATTAACTGTGGGGTATTTTGAGCTGAAACTTCACAAATACATTCTAGGGACACCAGAGACCAATATTACATCTTGTAAAAAGGGGCATAATAGGTGCCCTTTAAATGCCATGACAGTTTTGAAGGCTTTTTTGAAGTCGAAAACCAAGTAAAACCATAATAATAGAGCAAACAACTAGATGCCGCATAAGAATCATTTTTCAATAATTTTCAGAAAAAAATTACAAATATATTTTCAATTCTAAAACTTATATATATATATATATATATATATATATATATTTATTAAAAATTATAATTATATAATTATAAATTAAATAATTCATATTTATTTTATATATATATATATATATATATATATAATTTATTGAAAATTATATATATATATATATATATATATAATTTATTGAAAATTATATATATATAATTTATTAAAAATTATAATTATATAATTATAAATTATATAAATTATATGTATATTATATATATATATTTTATATATATATAAATTCTAAAGTAAAAATTACAATTATAAATTATAAAAAAATTATATATTTAAATTATAAATTTTATATATATATATATATATATAAATATATATATATATAATTTCATAACTGTAATAATGAAATAATCTATTAGTTCATCTAATGAATTTAAATGTTTAATTTCATAACAGTAACAATGAATGAATAATGAAATAAAAGAAAATGTGAATATATCTTTACAAAAGTTTACTAAAATAACTTAAAATATTTTTAATTATTAAATTAATTAATTTTATTACTTCATAACATACATATTAAAATAATAGATATACAAATTATTTATTAAATGTATTTATTTTTATATTTAATACATTTGTATTTAATTATTAAATGCATTTTATTTAATTAATTTCATAATGAAACAAGAGGTATATAATATTTAATATTCTATTAATTAATTTTTTTATTATTTGATTTATAATAAAATAAATTAGGCACAATCCTGACAATTTACATTTAATAAGCATGACAACCTTACGAATAGAGCGCTCAGATTAAGTGTAGTTTACGGAGCAGTTTCCTCTACTCAGGGTTCACAGACTGAGCACTCGAGTGTGTGGGCCGCTGGCTTTCACTACCTGAAACTGAGAGCTTGATGGTTCCTGACAATCCTCCGTTTCAGCCTCCGTTTTGGGAATAGGCACCTGCAAATAGACATTGTAGACAGTGATAAAGTGAAACGTATTTTAAACAAACAGCGCCACCCTGTGGTCACTATTGGAGCAAGACCTTACAGTGCTGTGATTCCATCAATAAAGGAAGAATGCATTTCCTTTACCTTGAGCTGAAGGTCTGCACCGACTACCCTCTGCTCCAGGTCCTCCACCCACTGGAGAACACTGATGTCCAACCGCAAGGCTCTCTCCTGCTCACTCCACGCCTGTTTAGACACTTCCAGCAGGGCTTCACCATCCTCCACTGACATCTGAAAAATGGGATCTGGGAAGGAACAACGCCAAAGAACACACTAAACATGCTGCCATCAACCAAAGCCTGCAATCACACTGCCCACGCTCCTGCTCCTCACCGGTCACGGGACGTCTGCAGACGTCAGCCAGATACTCCATGTGTTTGGTGAGGTGTTTGTGGAGAACCTTCTCTCGAATGCCTCGTGGGTGGAGGGCGCTCAGTATGGCCGTCAGCTCCTCCGGTTCTTTGATCCACCACCAGCCCTTCACCATCTCTGTAGGAGAGCGAGAGAAAGACATTTAGGGGCTGTTTACACCACACAATTTCCAAATAAAAAACAGAAAACGTATGCATTTTGGTCGTTTGTTTACAGGACAATGGCGTTTTGGGGGCCTGAAAAGGCAAACTTTTGAAAACGGGTTTTTATTAATTATTAGCTTTATCGACTCCTCTAAAAGCCTCTGGGTTAGATAAAGTTGACGTAGTGACAGATTCAAATATTATGAACATCCATCCATGGCAATTCCCATATTCACTCTTTCAGAGAAAACTGGATGGTCAAGTTGGCAAGGCTTAGACAAGTGCTTATGTAAGGGGCTAAGTAGGCCAGGCTTGTTGTGACTTATTTTGATGGCGTGGCAGACCTTTATTTTGGCAGAGTCAAAGTCTGGATGGCAGTCTGTTAGTCTGGCAAAGAGCTGATTCAAACCCATTTCCAGTCCGCAGAAATCGCGGCACCAATCAGAAACGTTGGGGCGGGCTTTACACGATGACGACAGCGCTGGGATTTTGAAGCAAATTTTGTAGCCTACATTACAAAGATGGACGCCGCCGTTGAACATCACTCGCTCGAATCAGCTATCGCGTCTGTTTTAAGCGATTTGAACGTTTCCTTTTTGTTAAAAACCGAGCAAAGAACAAGACTCGTTCTTTGCTCGTTGAAGATGTTTCTCCTCTATGTGTTTCTCCACACGTCATCTCCTTCATCGCTCTGATTGGCTTTAGGTCTACCCGCGACGTCCGTTGGTGACGCCCCTCTGTAAATGATTTGTCTATGATGCTTTGCCAGACCATAAGTCAGTTACAATGGAGAATGGTCTGGTTTTAACCAGGTTAGACCCGACTCAGAAGTAGGAGCTAAATTAGTTCCTCCAAAAGGAGTTCCTAGAACTAAAATCGTTCTTAGTTCCTGTGGTGAGAACACGCCCAAACCCGGGTACTTACGCCAATAGCTCTGGGAAAAGGTGCGAAATATAATCTACAAAAAGGAGGATGGACACGACACTCACCTAACGGAATAGGCTTCACCGTCAGTTGAGTGAAGTACTTCAGTTCGACCTCCTGGAAGAGATTGGAGGGAGGTCTGCCACGCCTCTTGGCCGCACCGGATCGAGAGTGCACTCGGGACGGCCCGCTGCCTCTCCTGCGCCTCTTGCCGGCCCGGGGAGCCGGAGCAGGGGTGGAGCACACCTGAGGAGCCGCCTCCATCTGCACCTGAGGATGAGGAACACAGGGAGAAGCCATCAGAAGGAGAAGCCTTCAGCATTTAGGATATTCATTCACTGTTTCTGATCTCATTGAAGATGAACCTGTGTCGGCTGCAGTGGAGGTGCGGGGAGCGGGTCACAGCCAAGGGGTGTCGGAGTGTCTTTCGCGGGGGATGCAGGGATGTTCTCGCACGGCTGCGCGAGAGACGCCTCGTCGCACGGCTCCTTAGGCAACAGATTGAACCACTGGCCTTGCTTTTCTGCCTGCTCCCTCATACTGTCCTCCGGTTGGCTGTTATCCTCCCCCTGACCGGCTCCTGACGCCGCGATCGGCGTGCTGTCGTCCGCCTCGGCGTCCCGCGGCTCGAGACAGGGCTGAGCCGGATCCTGCACGGGGGAGTTGAGGGCCGAATCCTCACCTGTTGATCTGCTGCTACAGCGCCGTCGCCGCCGGCTCTTGGCGGCTCGAAGGTGGAGCTCCACTTCCGGCTTGATCTTGCGGGGGCGTCCCCGTCCTCTCGGGCTGCTCATCAGAGAGGCCTCGCCGGGGAGAGGATCCTCCTCCGTGGGGGAACGCAGGGACGCTCGAGGAGAAGAGGTGCCGAAACCCGGAGAGAGGGGAGGCTCCGCTTTAACCTCTGCTTTCACTGGGATGACCTTCACATAAGTCACAGGCTCATCACTGACCGTCACTTCATCTGAAGCTGAACACAAGGAAGTAATAACTGGACATTAATGTGGGCAATTAGTAGGGCAGTCCAAGAAATTCATATTTATCATTTTATATATATATATATATATATATATTTATCTGTCAAACGATTAAATCGCATCCAAAATAAAAGTTTGTGTTTACATAATATATGTGGGTGCATCTATCTATCTATCTATCTACACATGCTTTTATGTATTTAAGAAATATTTTCATGTATACTGTACATAGATTTATATATAATTTATATTATATATAAATATTTCATATATAAATAATATTTTTTTCTTAAATATACATGCATGTGTATATATACAAAATAATTACACACAGTGCACCCACATATATTATGTAAACACAAACTTTTATTTTGGATGCGTTTAATCGCGATTAATCGTTTGACATAAACTGTATGAGTCTATATATACATATTTGTGTCCCCAAAATCATATGGCCATAGTAACAAGAAAACCAAGAAGAAATTAAACGTGCCGTGTTTTGCATGGTTTGCAATAAACCGATTTTGTTCGCAATAAACGAAAATTGTTGAATTTTTGTGACTCCACAGCAGGCGATTACCTGAATGTACAGTATATGGCATCGCATCAAGTACAGACTCTTAGGGGACCCTAAGTGTGATGTGTGTGACAAAGGCTATATCTCTAAGTGTTCGAGATACCAGACTAACTGCATGCTGGGAGTTTCCACTCACCCAAGATATCCTCGGCTCCCTCCACGAGGACACATCCCATATACGGCAGCAGCAAGTACCTGCGACGGTACCGGTCCTGCCCGAGAGACACGGCTCGCATGGAATGTGACGACTGTAGAAGCTTCTTACGGAAAAACACTTGGCGCTGAACACACAGAACAAAATATTTTGACCAAAATAAAAATACAGATTTATTTTGACCGACACAATAAGAGTCGGATTTTGAAAGACTCAAAAAGAGTTTATGAAAACTGAGTTGTATACAAAGATTTCAGTTTTTAATTTGAGTGTAATTATTAAATCTAAAAATCAATAGCAGTTGAATATAATGGGTTGGTCTTTGTCGGTAATTTTAACCTTTAATAATATAGCAATGTACCAAATAAGAGTTTACAGGATTAGTTGGGAGTAGGGAAAAAACGGTTAATCGATTATCGTATTACAATAATTTACTCGATTAAATTAAATTAATAGTCGGCCGATTGAACATTGCGAACGTGACACGTGCAGCTCTTAAAGGGGCCACACCTTATTTCCACCGGCTATCGGCTCAGCATCGATATAAGGAGATATCAATGACGGGCAATTCCATTAATATGAATAAATTATTATGTGAATATACAAACTTCATCCAGTTGGTCTAACTATACAATAATATTCATGCTCTAAGTTTAATCTTAAAACAATTACAGGACAAATATATACATTAAAAAGTGTGTACACAGACGATGTGCAGAATACAATGACTTTTCAAACAACTCTCAAAAAATGTCATTTTCAGAAGCTGAGATTAGATATTTTACCTTGGTCAGTTTATCAATCTGACGCTCTAGCTCTGCAACACTGCAGGTATTAGGACTCTCAATCTGTGAGGGGAAGAACAAAAAAGTAAATTTGAGACACTGTGTCCTTACATAAATCAACCAAATTTAGCTAACCAGCCATGGTCTGACATCTGACATGTAGTGCACTAAATAAAATAATTTAAACCATCATTTAATCACAGACAATATTGCAATTGAACTCCGTCAGCACAGCTCTGGTATCTGTACCTCAGTGTTTTTGGGTTCCTCTTTGGCTTTCCGGCGACTCCCTCTCTCCAACAAACAGTTCTCCTCGATGCTCTCCTCCTCGGCCACGCCAACACGAGCGCTGCGCCGGCGCTCCTCAAAGCACAGCTCCTCCTCTGGGCGGCCCGTCTTCCGCATCAGCGCAGCTTTCAGTCTGCTCACACACACACATTTATGAAAGATGAAGCCAACTACAGAAGAGTCTTGTGGCTAGTTTCCACCTAGCGATACAGTACAATAAACCCTTGTATGCCCGAGAGTAGCGATCAACGTCATTCTCAAACGGAAAAGGAAAGTGGTACAGTACGATTTGATGTTTTAGCAACATTCACAACTTCTGACAAATAATTGCGCACCGTACCTTACCACTCGGTGGAAAAGAGTAGTGGTGCACGATATATCGGCCGCCGATATAATATCGGCCGATTTGGTCAATTTTTTACACATCGGTATCGTTCCGATGTCAAAATAGGGCCGATGTGAACAGGCCGATGATCATCTGTGTATTTGACGTGCGTGTAGGTGTGAGTGCGGGGATGTTTGTTTTTGCACGCGTATTAAAAGCGCAAGTGCGTTTAAACATCAAGCCACGAAGACTAGAATTGGTGAGCTGTTTTCTGCCAGCCTTCCTAATGCGTATTTTTGTCCCGCCAAAGCCATATTTGACCGGTAAGTGATGTAGATGAGTGACTGCTGCGCTTGTTTAACTGAGGGAACAAGAGAGAGTGAAAGCACCGGTCGCGCGCCGTCTTCAAAATGTCTTGCGCTTGTTTAACTGAGGGAACAAGAAAGAGTGAAAGCACCGGTCACGCGCGCCGTCTTCAAAATCTCTCTCTCTCTCTCTGGTCACTACTACTGGTCGTGAATTGTGAAACCACACTTTCAATAAACCAAAAAAATCTATCTGTTGATGAAATGTTTTCTGTGTCGACTGTCGAGACCATAGACTGTAAAAATAGGTCGAGACAAATCTCGTGCGATGTTCTAAACTGCCTGGATAATCACAACGTGTGCCGTGGTTCCGTTAATGACACGTCCGATTCGCGAACTAATGACTCCTTTGAACCGATTCACTTTAATGAATGGTTAAAACAACTGATCTGTCCAACACTGAGCTCAAGAGACATAAATCGGAAACACTTTACAGTAAGGTTCCATTTATTAAAGTGTACATTAAATGTACACTTTAATAAATGGAACCTTATTGTAAAGTGTAAGGTTAATAGATTAATAGAATGTTAACAAATTTTGTATAATATTAGTTTCTATGCAGATTTACTCCATGACAAAACTACCCCAGTCATTCTAGAATGATTCATTCTTTCCAAATAGAGCAATTCAAGTAATCTGTTGAAATTGTTTTTATATCACAATATATATCGCAGAAAAATAAAGTATCACAATGTCATTTTTTACCAATATCGTGCAGCCCTAATCCTCGCTATGTGTTTTCTATACAGGGATATCGACATCGGTAAATATCGGTATCGGCCATAACAGCAATGTTAATATCGGTTATCGGTATCGGCCACAAATTTTCACATCGGTGCATCACTAGAAAAGAGCCATTAGACTGCTTTCACACTTGGTCCAAACATGGGTTGTCAAAAAGTACTAACACCTGACATTTATTCATATAGCTTCATAGCAATTCAGAAAGAGAGAAACTAGCATCGTCAATTTTTTAATAAGCTAATTCCAAACGGTGGGGCATTTTGGGATGGCAGTTAGCAAAGGGAACATGCAATGGTCACTTAGAGGAGGCAATTTGTAGACGTGTTCACACTCATAGTTCAGTTCTCTTGGTCCGGACCAAAAAAGAAAATTCTACATTTAGTCCCGGCTCGCTTAGCTTTCACAATGTCATTTTTAAGACCGGTTTTCTGAAATCTGGTTCTTCGCTATCACAGCAACCAAATTTGCACAAAAATCTTTGAAGGGTCTTACTTGCGTAGTTTGCCTTCTATGATCCACTTGTTCTTCCTGTAGGTTGCCATATTCTCTAGTGTGTTATCAATCTCCCTGCAGAACAGATGGAAAATGAAAATCTTTAAATATATGGATCAAGAAAACACTTCCAAATTATGATGATGATATGAATTGAATTGCTGCTGACCTGGTGACTATGTTGCTGCTGTTGAGTTCCTCCACCAGGAAGGCCAGTATGGAGGCTTTGGCGTCGGTTTTGAGGGTCTGGAAGCTCTTTGTACGGAGACTGTTACACACCTCCAAGTCAAAACCATGGGCTTCCAGAAAGATCCGCAGCACTTCAGACACAGTGTTGTGGCTCAGCTCCAGATCCACCAGCTTCTCTCCCAGGATCTTCACGGACTGAGACATGAAAGAGAAACAAACCAACCTTTATGTGCTGTTAAACGATTAAAATATTTAATTGCGATTAATCGCATTAACGTCATAGTTAACTCGCGATTAATCACACATTTCTTTTTCCTCACATTATTTTTTTTCTCATTTTAATGCTCTTATCAACATGGAAAAGATCAGCTTGCTTTGTGCAAATGTTTTTTTTATTGAAAACAACATTGCCATATACTGTGTTCAATTTCACACTAATTTTCTCACTTGGAGCAAATAATCTCTCACACAATGCAACACTGTCCATCAATAAAAGGGTGAAAGAAATACTGACGAGGTCCTGATATTGACGAGGGGGCGGAGAATTCGCATCATTGTGTGTGTGCTTGGCAATCAAGTGGTATTTCAGACTGGACGTGCTGCGATGATGATAGCTCAGTTCACAAGACAAAACACACAGATCGCTTTGGTCTTGTCAATGGAACCGTTTGGCAACTTTTTAAAAGTAACGTTAAACTTTCCATTCAGAATATTATTGGCATTCATTTCGGTGTCTCGCGCTCGTCATCCACTCAAAACGTAACGTTAACCAACTATTTGGCCGGCTCGCATGCCCAATCAAGTGTGTGCGGCATGCCTGTTGTTTTGTTTCCGGTCAAGCTAGATCCGCTTGCGCTTTGGTCGACGAAGCAAAAAAACGTCCTTGTGCGGCGCAAGCCATTGAAATTAATGGGTTTCATAGCGCAGCACCGCGCATACCTTGTCCTGTTGCAAAAGCATATGAAAAAACTACAAAGTTTGCTAGGCCAAAAAGACTGGATTCGCGCTAACGCCGTTAATAACACGTTTAACTGACAGTCCTAATATATATATATGATTTCTCAAATAAGTGTAGGTGAGCAGAAGAGAATTTTACCATTTTATTAAGAAAATAGAAAACAGTTATTTTAAATTGTCAATATTTAACTATTATATGTAAATATAATAAACATCATTTATCAAATAAATGAGCAGAAGATGACCATTTTATTAATTCTTAATCAAATTCTTAATTGCTTTTTAACTTCTTTTCCAACATTTAAAAATCATTTAGTTCAACATCTTCAGAATACATGTAATTGTTTTTGATTAGTATTACCGGTATTTTATTTTATTATATTTATATAAAAAAATTGTCTGTATATGAGTTTACTTGTGTTTTGATGTTGTCTTGGTACAAATGATATGGTTTACTCCGTTTAGGGAGGAGTGCGTCACCTTTAGGGAGTCTTGTATGAATGAATGTCTTGTTTGTATGGTTTTGGTTTATAAATTTAGCTATATAGTACTACTGTAAAGCATGTTTTTTTTTTTCTTTTTTTCTTGTGTATTTGTTATTTGCTTTTTGTTTTTGCTATTTGTTATGTTAATTTCCAGCTGCTGTAAGGTCTTTTTTTTATATATATATCTTGAATCGAGGACCCCCTCGAAAACGAGATGGCTCATCTCAAGGGGCTATTCCTCTTTAATAAAATAAATGTCAAACAACAAATCTTTTTGACTGGTAGAGTACAAAAATACAGATGACAAATATGTTGTAGATGTGGTTGTTTTCAATTAACTAAAATAATGAAACCTATAAAAGTTACTCAAGTTACACTTCTGGTGAAAAGGATTATCAAAGTTATCAAAACATTTACAACTATACCAACTTGAAAGATAAACGTAATATACTGATATCACAATAAAAAAAGACAAACCTGGTAATACGAGGGCAGTCCAGGATCGTGCAGAGCGGCGTCCACCAGTTTAATGAGCAGATCCAGCAGCTCGCCCTGGCTCTTTCCTACCCCGAGGAGCCCTTCCTGCAGGGTGCTCAGGCTGGGAATATCCTTAGGCACCTGGAGGCCCAGAACCTTTCCGTAACCATGCAGGAACTCCACCACCCTCAAACAATTGGAGAAGGCCACACCGGACAGCACCAGTCCTGGAATCCGTGACAGCGCTGGGAGAAGCTACACACGGAGACAGATCACAACATGAGTGATTTTACTCACTTAATTTACTCGACATTATAGTAGGCTACTAGGGGCTGTCAAAATAGCTGACAAGCTAAATCTAAATTATTATTGAAATATTCGAATTCTAAAGGCAATTAAAGGAAAAAAGGAGTGCATTGTCTCCTATGCCTACAAGAGGGCGCAAGCGAGCACAAAAAGCAAATAAAGCATTTCATCTTTTATTGAAATGAAATGACATTCACCCTCATCATCATCTCTAGACTGACACAATGCTTTTGTTTCCAGATATGAGATTAACAAGTGTAATGACAAACCCAACCAATTCACAGTAAGTTTCATTTATCAACTGCGTGAATTTGCCAGGCGGGAAATGTCCTGTATGTGTGAATCCCTCAGCATGTCAAGCTCACCGTATGATCAGGGAGACACATGTCCTCTGCGGGCTTCTTCATCTCCTCTAAGATCATCTGCTGCCTCTTCCTCTCTTCCATTCGTCTCTGAGCCTGTGCCCTCCTCTCCGCCTGCCTCTTCGCCGCCAGAGCAGCCTGTGCTTCTGCTTCGGCTTGGGCCTGGGCCTTGGCGAGAGCCTTGGCTTTGACGCGGGCCCGGGCCACTCTCTTGATTGGGCTGGCCTTCTCCGGATCCAACGGCGTCTCTGCCGCTGGTACTGCCACCTTCCTCCTGCGCCCGGGCTTCTTGGGCCCCTCTGAGGCCGACAGAGGGCTTTCAAATGACGAAGACTGGTTTACATCATCCTGTTCTTGCTCTTTGGCTTTCTCCAACTGCTCAAACACATCAGAAAACACAATCAGAGCTCTGAACACCAGGGTTTCAAGCTACTAAAATGAACTCTAGTCATAAATTTGACCATGATATAATAGGTTTCACTTACTTTTGCTTTCCGTTTCTCCTGCCGGATCTTTTTATTCTTTGCATCCTCCTTTCTTTTCATTCTTGCCTGCATGAGACAAACCAGATGCTCAGTTTCAACAGATGAACAAAAGTTTAAAGGGGTGATGAACTGAGAAATCAAATTTTCCTTGAGCTTTCAACATCTAAGAGGTCATCATAATATAAGAATATCCTGTAAGTTTCAGAACTGAAAACGTCCTTGTTAGTCCAATAAAAGCTTTTGACACCAGCCTCAGCAAACGACTCGTTTTTCAAAGAGGGGAACTATGACGCCAAAGAGGATAAAACACCACCCCCGCAGAAGAAGATCAACGCCTACTTCAACACGGCCGGTTTAGCCCCGCCCACCAATTCGCGCATTACACGCATAGCTAAATAACATAGATTCCTACCTCGTGATGACAAACCGGATCGAGCTACCGAGCAATAGAGAATACTGTGCAACACACGGACTCTGGGTCGAACATGTATGGGCAAATCATTCCGGTTGCCATTTTACAACATTAGACGTTTTCAAAACAATTCCCCGCAAGTGCATCGACGGGTGAGTTGAAACTCATTATAATATGCAAAACTGTTATCCGCTCACAGCAGTGGCCGTTTACTTCCAAGTCTTCAATGTGAGACGCCCATAAAAACCAACGTTTTTGAGCTAGGCACAAAACTAGGGTACAAAATAGCCTTACTTATTCATTTTGATGGTTTTGAATGCAAAAATATATAATCAAATTTCATTTGCCAGTTCATGACCCCTTTAAAAGTGATATACTTGATATTATACTATTACTTATTCATAAGTTGACCTCAGACAACAATATAATAAAATTTAAAAAGCCAGTTCATGACCCCTTTAAAACATATTCTGCAAAGTGAACTTGTTACAGTAAATAATAGGGCTGGGACAATATATCGATGCATTGTGAATCGAGAAATAATTCTGGATCGATTCCAATTTTTCCGAATGCATCACGATTCTCTCTCGAATCGATTCTGAGTTTAGTTTAGCGGCAGAAGGCACTGTGTGCTCTAGAAACAGCTGTAATTGGCTGGCTACCAATGCCTCGCACACACACCACTTGAACCTTGAAAATAATCATACATAAAGTTTGAAAAGGTGGAAGCGAATTACAAGGGTGTTTAGTGGGTTATTTCCATTAATTTCACGTCATAAAGCATTCTGAGGTGCAAGTACATTCTCAGAATCAGCCGAACGCTCTTCTTCGTGAGCATCTGAGCAAGCGGTTCAAAACTAGCCTAGAAACCAGAATCGATTTGGGATGCATTCGGAAAAAATTAGAATCGAGATGCGTCGATATATTGTCCAAGCCTCAGTAAATAAAGTGAATTCAGCTCACCTTTCTCTTCATTTTCTTCTTGATCTTGACCAGTTTTACTTTTTCATCCTCAGTGAGATCCACTGTAAAACAATCATCATCAACCGCTCATTATATTTGACAAACGACTCAAATAAAAGGTAAAAAGTTGAGCGCTTCTGTAACGAATTTATGCTACATTAATCGGACAATCCACCTAAAACAACCTGAGGTTAGGCGTTTTGCTGGAGAACACAGTACCTTGCCCCCACACCTCCATTCATTCCTACATGCTAACGTGTTTTCCAGTTGAGAGTATTCAGACTTACCCTTTTCCTCCAGTCTCTTCATCAGCCTGGCGTCCACTTTGCTGAGCAGATCCTCCATCTTGGCCTTGGGGGGTCGGCCGGGTCGTCTACCTTGGGCTCCTTTGGCTCGGCGTCCACGAGGACGAGGCTCTTTGTCTGGATTTGGAGGACGACCACGTCTCCCTGTTATAGCCATGATCATGGAGGGCACTTCCTCATTGGCAAGGGGGAACCATTTCATACCCTGTAGAAGATTAAAGAGAAACGACATGTCACGCAACAGTGCAACCGTCTTGGACTGCATGTAGCTCTCAAGTCTGTAGACATCTTAATACACACCTCAGGTGTTTCCCTCTCCTCATAGAAATCCCCCACTGGCATGCGTGGACTGAAGCTGAAGTGCTCTCTTGAAACGCCCCCGAGACCATCCTGATGCCTTTTCAAAAACTGGAGAATGTAGGAGAGACCAAAGCAACTGGATGAAGACGAGCCTTTTTACCACACATTGGAGTTACAGTGGCATCGCAGAAAGGGCAGCACGGTTATTTGAAACAAAACCGAAATGGCGTAGTGTGATTGTCAAATCGCATAGGCTACAATTGAATTCAACAAGTATATACACTGTGCGTTTCAGAGTGAAGTGGCACTGTGTTCATTTACACGTGAGCAGCTCATGATCTGGTGTTTTCAGCATCTCAGTAACCCCTTTTCCACCAAAGCATTTTGAGAGCCGGTTCGGAGCCACTACTTTGTGTTTCGACAGCCAAAGAACCGGTTCTCGGCCAGGAGAACTGGTTCTAAAGCGGCGCCAACTCTTTGCTGGACCAGAACCGTTCTTTTACCACGTCATGCTTACATCGGGGGCTGGGGCGGGTTAGGATGTGTTCTAAACATCTTTTCTGACCATCGCAAACCAGGAGAAACATTTGCAGAAACACAATGGAGTCCACCTTTGTAATTGTTATGCTTGAAGTTGGCGCAAGCGTTTCTATTTTTTTTATTGAAAACATTATAAGCAAAGAAGAAAATATTCACAATATAGAACAAATAAATGGAAAGAAAAAAAGACACAAGACAGGGGTGCATAACTAATCAGAAAAGATTACATATCAAAGGAAAAGATTACACGACTTACATATTTCAATTGTTTTTAAAGCCTTCTTGATACACAAGTTAGAGATAATCCCAAAGTAATGTTTTACTTGCAAGAATTTCTAGCTAAAGGCCTGTTCACACCGGGACGAATTTCTCGCGCAATATTCCCCAACGTTTAACGCCTCGTGACTAAACAAAGGGCACCAGTGTGAGTGTGCAAACCGACACATAAAACGGCATGCGTAAAAGCGTCATTTAAAAATTTTTTTTTAAAAACGCCTCAGGTTCGTTTTTTTTGTTTGACGCACTGCGTCAAAAACTATCCGACCAATGAGATTGGCGCTTTTGCTCACGTGTTTGGAGCTTCTGAAGTTACAGTAAAACACAACATGGGGGCGCTCAAATACAAAACGGTCTTGCCGAGCACACATATGGAACAGAGAAGATCTACGCCAAGTAGTGTCGTCGTCTACACAGCCAGGAAGAAATAAGATGAGAAAGATGCACGGCAAATGAATGTAGAGCTGCTGTTCTCGTTGGTGTCAGAACATGAACTATATGACAAATGCGACAGCGACTACAAACGTCTTGATAAAAGAGGACTGTATGGAGTGGTATTGCAGAGCAAATTGGCGCCATCTAATGTCAGGGAATGAATTTGTATGTTCACTCGGCTCATCGTCAGTGAAAATCGCTTGGGTGTGAACACAAAAAACGCGTTGAAAAACGCTGGCGAATAACGCGCTGATATTGGCGACGTACACAGTGACGTAGCGACGTCGTTCCCTGGGCGCTCTAGTCAGTGGAAAAACAAACAGGTTCTGAAAGGGTTCGCAAGTTGAACCAGCACCAGTTCCAAACCAGTTCATTTTTGGTGGAAAAGTGGTAAGTAAATGCTGCTCGACAAACAGTGAAATATTATTATAATATAGTTTATAGCCATTTTGTCACACAACCACAAAACTTTGTACAGCCCTTCAAACCTGACATTTTTAAATGTGCATTTAAATTTTTATCAGAAAATTACATTTTCCCAAAATCGTGAACCCAACAGTGGGTAATCATTTGTTGAGCTAGTACAACAGAACTCACCTTGATGACCTCAGGGAACTGCTTCATCCTCCGGCCACAGGGGCTGTAATACCACGTCTCCCCTTTCAGCCGGTCCTCATGCCTCCTGACTCGAATCTCTCGCTTCCAGCTAGCAAATGTGAAACACAGCACACGAAACATGATTGTCATACCCAGACCGATGCATTTCCAACTGTTTGAAATATGCATTTACTGGATTAGCATTTTTAAAAGCTATTTTGAGAGGATTGCTGGAGCTGATTTCTATTTGTATTTTAGCTACCATATCTCCAAACTTGTACTCCGTTACTATCAGAGCTTGACAGTGCAGGCATTTCACTAGCATCTTCAACTAAATACAGATGTGTGCAAAGCGTAAAATGTTTTAAGGCGCACGAGTGAGAATAAAAATAGGTCCTAAATATTGCAGGTCTTAAATAACTTTTAAATTAGGAGCACATGGGCGTCGTGGGAAATAAGTGCCAAGCCGCTACTTTGGACAAAGGACTGCTCACCCATGCTGCAAAGGGAACTGGACTTGCTCTTCGGTTGCAACCCTACGTCTTGGTGTGTCGCCTGTGACACACAAACAACAATTAAATATATGGTTCACCTTAAAGGAGTAGTTCACTTTTAAAAAAGCTTTTGCTGATAATTTACTCACCCCCATGTCATCCAAGATGTCCACGTCTTTCTTTCTTCAGTCGAAAAGTAATTAAGGTTTTTGATGAAAACATCCCAGGATTTTCTCCATATAATGGACTTCTTTGGGAACCAAACGGTTCAAGATCCAAAAGACAGTTTCAGTGCAGCTTCAAAGGGCTTTAAACGACACCAGACGATGAATAAGGGTCTTATCAAGGACCCTTCGAGTCATGACCCGAAAATAGATTTGTTCATTTTGATGAACGAGTTCGAACAGGAAAGTCACGAAAGCGCATCACAGAATAGAGCAAGGCGAGCATTTGTGCTTATAAAACTGAAACTTTTTCATTTATTTTTTAAATGAGCGATCGTTTCACTAGTTAAGACCCTTATTCATCGTCTGGTGTCGTTTAAACTACTACTGAAACTCTCATTTGGACCTTGAACCGTTTGGTTCCCATTGAAGTCCATTATATGGAGAAAATGCTGGAATGTTTATCAAAAACCTTAATTTCTTTTCGACTGAAGAAAGAAAGACATGGACATCTTGGATGACATGGGGGTGAGTAAAATATCAGCAAAAGTTTTTTTTAAAAAGTGAACTACTCCTTTAAGCGCCAGAAGTATGGGTACAAAATAGATTCGAATTTCAACCTCTAAAATGCAGATACCTGCTGTGGAGCTGTTATCATCATCTTCAGCTTTACCCTCTGCCAACTCAGCTTTGTCTGGTTTGGAAGGCTTTGCCTCATTCACGCCTTCTTTCATCTTACGCTTCCAGATCCTCTTGGGCTGGACCAATGGGTTCCCATTATTGGTCAGGCTTGAGTCAAGGACAAGGGTCAGTGGTTCATTTGGAAGGTAAAGCGGAGTATTTGAGATATCCGTTGGGATGCTCTCCGGTTCCTTTGACTCTTTAGAGATTTTCCTCTTCTTCACTGCAGTCGATGTGTTCTCCTCTGTTTTCTTTCTCCTTCTAACCTTTGGGCCATCAGGTGTTAACTTCTGCTTCTTGATCTTGGAATCAGGAGAGCCAACTGAAAATAATGGAGTAAGACAGTATTTAGCAGCCAACACAATTTTATCTATCTGACTCATTATAAGGGCATCAAGCTTTTTAAGAATTAAAAAAAACATTGTAAACCCTCAACTATGCCAGCATGATAGTAAAGATGATCAATTACTTTCAGCAATAGCAACTGGGATCTTTGGGGTCCTAGGCTTTCGTGGCTTCTTTGTTGGCATGGCGATAAGTGCTTCAGATAAATGTGTGGACGTCCCTTCAACAGAACCGCTTACAACCACTTGCAAAGCTTTAGCGGTCAAAGAGAGCGCAGATCTTTGGTCAACTCCAGATAGATCTGAAGTTTCAGGTCCAAGAATCTGATCACCTATGGGGAATAACATGTTTAGTTTACAATCCCTGGAAATCTATGAAGGTAGATTTGTGTCTTTATTTTTCAATAAAAAAAAAAAATGTTGCTTCAATCAAAAAAAATATTTTCAATTAAAAAAACCTTCACTTCAATGAAAAAAAAACTTTTCAATCAAAGAAAAAAAGTATTTGAATCCAAAAATATATTTGAGACTCAAAAAAATACATTTGAACACTGCTTTTCTTTGATTGAAAATGTTTTCTTTGATAGAAGTCCGGTTTTTTTTTGTTTAAAGCAACCTTTTTAATTAAAGTAACATTGTTTTTTGATTGGACCATATAATGGGTAGGACATTTGTGTCTTTATCATTCAATCAAAAAAGAAGTTGCTTCAAACAAACAAACAGCAGAATCAATACAAAAGTCACTTCAATGAAAAGAGAAACATTTTCAAATATAGAAAATCATTTTTGAATGCAAATAAAATATTTGAGGCTCCAAAAATTGCATTTGAACACATTTTGTTTTAATTGAAAATGTTCTCTTTGATTGAAGTAATCTTTTTTGTGTTTGGGCCATACATGGGTAGGACATTTGTGTCTTAATCATTCAATTCCAAAAAAGTTGTTTTCAATCAAAGAAAAAACTGTTCAAAAGCAAAAAAAAAATATTTACCTCGTGAATAAAAAAAGTATTGAAAAAATGTGTTTTTTCGTTGTTTTCGTTTTTTATTTGAAGTGAAAAAAAAATAGAAGTTCAAATTGTTTTGATTGAATAATTAATTTTTTTTTGAAGTGCAAAAAGTTTTGAAGTTCAAATTTTTTTGATTGAATCATTTTGACACAAACGTTCCGCAGTGGGCGGGTGCTTCTCTGTTGGTCAGACATGTTTGATTGACAAGTGTCTACACCAACGACATCTTTCTGACAAAGAAGTCATGTTCGCCACTCGCCAGCAAGTTTTTACCCCTACAGGATATTATCTATTTATCATTTGATCTTGTGGCTCTAAGCATCGCGCCAGCCACACCAGCCACACGATCTCTCACTGTTTACTATCAGAAACTCCGATTAATACACGAGAGCACACAGACAGTGTTATCCTGCTCTTGTGTACGGGCGTCAGTTTGGTTTGGTTTGAAATGTGCTGGGGGACGGAGAGACGTATTCGGAAGAGCATTTTCAAAAGTGCTGGGTACAATGACGCATTCATTATTTTTTTTCTCTTTCGAGTAGGCGCCGCGAGATGTTTCAAAAGTGGTGGGTACAAAATAGACCCTGGCAAAAAGTGGTGGGGACATGCATACATATCTATGGGGACATGTCCCACCCGCGACCTGCCACAAGATCTCTCACTGTTTACGTGAACCAGACACTCTGAGAGCATATAAAGTGCAATCCATCTCTTATTTACTTTTTTTTTTTTTACATATTATCTTATATTTTATTCGCTCTTTTGCCCGTATTGGAGCGCATCTCATGGCTCTTAAGCGTCGGGCCAGCCACAAGATCTCTCACTGTTCTCATAGCCTACCAGACACTCCGATTGATGCACGAAAACACAGAGACAACGCAACCCTGCACTTATTTACCCTTTTGTCATCTTATCTTATATTTTATTAGCTCGTTTGTCCCATAATGGAGCACGTTTCGTGGTGCGCCAGTCACAAGATTTCGCAATATTTCTCATAGTTGCGTGATTCTCCGATTGACATTCTGAAGGAGAATGATTTTGACCACTCCATTAAGTTTGTTTTTTTAATAAAGACTTTCTTTAAAGTGAATTTCGTTTTTAATAAATTGCATCTTGATTTTAATCAATGTTTGATCAACCAATTCCCAGGATTTAATAAATAAGAAGCAAAGCAAACATATAGGCATAGCAATAAAATCATGAACTTTTTGCTTTGCACGTTTCTCAAAGACATGATAAATAGGCTACATCTAGAAAGGTAGAAATGTCTAGCCTAATTTTAAACAAAACAATTCAAAACGAAAATAAATAGATTATTCTACTCTCAGATTATATTTAATCCATATGAAACGAGCATTTCTCTCGGCCCGTTCACTACTGCGAAGATGGCTCCAATACGGGCAAAAAGAGCAAATAAAATATAAGAAAAAATTACAAAAAGGTAGATAAGAGATGGATTGGACTTTATTTGCTCTCATCTGAGTGTCTCATGTAAACAGTGAGAGATCTTGTGGCAGGCGCGACGCTAATAGGTGACGCGCACGCTCCATTATGGACAAAAAGAGCAAATAAAATATAAAATAAGATGACAAAAAGATACTTAAGAGCAGGATTGCACTGTCTGTTTTCACATGTGCATCAATCGGAGTGTCTGATAGGTGTAAACAGTAAGAGATCTTGTGGCTGGTATGGCTGGCGATGCTTAGAGCCACGACCCGTTCGCATAAAAAGAGCGAATAAAATATAAGATCAGACGATAAATGGGTAAATGAGATCTGTATTGCACTATGTGTGCTTTCGTGTAGCTACCATTAGGTGTAAATAGAGAGAGATCGTGTGGCTGGTGTGGCCGGCGCGACGCTTAATAGAGCCATGCGAGCGCACTCCCATACGCATAAAAAGAGCAAATAAAATATAATATAAGATGACAAAAAGGTAAATAAGAGATGGATTGCACGTTATTATACGCGCTCCAATACGGGCAAAAAGAACGAATAAAATATATGATCAGATGATAAATGTGTAAATAAGATCTGTATTGTACTGTATGTGTGCTCTCGTGTAGGCCTACCATTAGGAGTGTCTGATAGGTGTAAACAGTGAGAAATCTTGTGGCTAGGCAGGTGAAAAGCGTTTGGTTAATGGTGAATATTGACCTATTGTGCGTACCGTTCTGTCGGGGAATATGCGCTGCATTTACTGTAAATATTGTGTAAGTTCGACTGGCAGGCGCTATACAATGCAGTGCATATAAGGCACATATATCCGTGGCCGGTCGAGTAGCGGATCCCCCTGCCAGGCAAAGATTTTATCCCCTCTAAAAAAGCTGCTGGCGAGTGGCGAACATGACTTCTTTGTCAGAAAGATGTCGTTGGTGTAGACACTTGTCAATCAAACATGTCTGACCAACAGAGAACCACCCGCCCACTGCTGAACGTTTGTGTCAAAATGATTCAATCAAAAAAAAGTTTGAACTTCAAAACTTGTTGCACTTCAAAAAAAAAAAAAGGATTCAATCAAAAACAATTTGAAATTCTAAATTTTTTTCACTTCAAATAAAAAACAAAAACAACGAAAACACACATTCTCTTCAATACTTTTTTTATACACGAGGTAAATAATTTTTTTTTGCTTTTGAAAAGTTTTTTCTTTGATTGAAAATATTTTTTTTTTGATTGAAACAACTTTTTTGGAATTGAATGATTAAGACACAAATGTCCTACCCATGTATGGCCCAAACACAAAAAAAGATTACTTCAATCAAAGAGAACATTTTCAATTAAAACAAAATGTGTTCAAATGCAATTTTTGGAGTCTCAAATATTTTATTTGCATTCAAAAATGATTTTCTATATTTGAAAATGTTTATCTTTTCATTGAAGTGACTTTTGTATTGATTCTGTTGTTTGTTTGTTTGAAGCAACTTCTTTTTTGATTGAATGATAAGACACAAATGTCCTACCCATTATATGGTCCAATCAAAAAACAATGTTACTTTAATTAAAAAGGTTGCTTTAAACAAAAAAAAACAGGACTTCTATCAAAGAAAACATTTTCAATCAAAGAAAAGCAGTGTTCAAATGTATTTTTTTGAGTCTCAAATATATTTTTGGATTCAAATACTTTTTTTCTTTGATTGAAAAGTTTTTTTTTCATTGAAGTGAAGGTTTTTTTAATTGAAAATACTTTTTTTGATTGAAGCAACATTTTTTTTGATTGAATAATAAAGACACAAATCTACCTTCATAGAAATCAAATATGTCTTTTTTTAAACTTAAAACCCAAGCATCAGATCACAATATGTCCACCATGCATTCAAATCACTATTTGCATGCTTAAAACGTTCTTGCATCAGACTCAAAGTTTAAGCACACTTGAATGAGTATTACTATTCATTTTAATGATAAATAATAGGGACGGATGATATATCGGGTCAGTATTGGATTTGTAAGTGTGTACACGCTCATTTTTTTCTATTTTTACATTTATATTAGAGCCTGACCGATAAAGGATTTTGAAGGCTGATGACGATACAAATATTTGTTTGGTTTTAAAATCCGATATTACCGATATTTACATATATTTTTTTCAGAATCGCGCAACAAAACATTAACAGATTTCCCTAACATTAGTTATTTATAGTTAATTATGAGTTTTAACTAAAATAACATGATACTGCATTTTAAAAAGAAACACGTTTCATTTATTGTCACAACAGAACAGACTGATGATAGTAGCATTAGCTAGCTTTATGGTTAGCTAGCCTATGATAAGCCATAATTTAGCAATGGATAACATCATAATGCAAATTGTAAAACATACATTTTCAATATAACAGGCCAAGGAGAGATGATCCGTCTCATTGCTATAACTGTCACGCACTATTAAAGAAATACTTCAGTCACATTGTCAAAAGTTAAAAGGACAGTTAGTCAACTACACTCTAACAACGTAACGCAATTATTACTAGCTAATTCCGCTTCACTCTCGGCTTATTTAACAGCAGCAAAACTGGAAATGATAGTCACAAATTTTGTCATGCTTATTTGAGTTAAGAGAACTGATGGGGATGCTCTTTTAATTGTAATGTTGCCAACAGGGACAGTGTAGAGTGCCCTCTGGTGGACAAACTATACAACTCCAACACTCATGACATGGTTCAAGCGTGTTTCATTCGTTTTTATTTTATTTTTGAAATATTCATTTATCGGCCATTATAACTGGCGATACCGATATTTTGGAAAATGCCTAATATCGACCGATAATATCGGCCTGCCGATATATCGGTCTGGCTCTAATTTATATTACCTTTACTGTCATCTAACACTCTTAAAATTAATAACATTTAGTTAACACTAGGGATGCACCGATATGAAAATTTTGGCCGATACCGTTAAAGATAATTCTTTATATTTGAAAGCCGATAACCGATATATCGGCCGATAAACTTAAATCCAAATTTTTATCTAATTTTGAGAGCCTGATTACAAATACAAAAGTCTCACAATTAATTCCATGTCCCAAGAGCACAATTATAATTATGTTCTCATTATAGTGTTGTATAACCGATATGACAGATTTGCGCTTCACATGTTGTACCAAACCGTATTTTCTATTTTTGAAGAGATTTCAATCATATTTCAAGAAATTCAAAAACATAAACAGTGCTCAACAAGTGTCTCAGCTGAAGGGAATAATACATTATTTATCGGCTTTAATATATCGGCCACATTTTCTTAACGATAACATTAAAAATGAACATATATCGGCCGATACCGATATGCTGGCCGATATATCGTGCATCCCTAGTTAACACAGCATTTTAATATACAGTATAAAAAAAATTACATTCATCTTAGATAGTTTTGAATTTGAATCCGTCAATTAGTGGTCACAATATAAAAATAGTTTTCAGCTGAAGTTTGATGCATCCCTTCTAAAAAATTTAGTGTTATGGTCCTAATACTAGGTTCTTTACAGGTGAGTAAATGCATTATTAGTGCATTGGGAATCTCACCTTTGATAGAGTGTGTAGAGGCATTAATAGATGGAGAAAGCAGGGAGGAGCAGTTTTGCGAGGTGTTGTTTGAAGAGTTGTCCAGGAGAGACCTGTTCTCTTTGAGGGAAGTCTCCTCGGTGGAACTTGTAGAGGTCATGGAGCTGTTTAAGTTGTCTTCCTCACAAGAAGTCTCCAGCAAGTCCCTGGAGTCATCAAACATGGATCCTTCTGTAAACTTGGATTGGTCTCCCATCTGGGAAAGACTATAAGAATTATCAAAAGTGTCCATCATCGAACTCCCATCCTCCGCTCTTGAGCTTTCAAGGTAGGTTGACTCAGCCAAGGACGGATAGTCTAGTGACGTGTCAGTGCCAAAAGTGTCATTTAAAGCATCACTTTCTCCTTTCCTCGGGGTAGCCTGATCTTTGATACCATACGAGTCTTTCCTGCCAACAGCCATAGTGTCTCTCTCAGGTTCCTTTGGAACAATAAAAGCCGGTTCAAGGTTTCTACTATGAGTTGGGACCCTATGCATCTCAGATTGACCCTCACTGTTGGACTCCTTTTTGGATGTGCCGATTATGACTCCGACTTTACTCTGGGAAACACAGGCCTCGTGTTTACCAGGAGTCTTTTGAGTAGAGTGCGATTCCCCAAAGTTGTACCGTACTACACTGTGAGAACCCACCTGCCCCAGACTGTGAGAAGAAACGTCCACATTTGCCACAATGCCTGAGGGATGAGCAGCAGAGCCAACGAGGGAACGAGACGCATTTGGAGCAGGAGAAAAATTGAGAGGTGCCGAGGACGCCTGAGAAGAAAAGCTAACAGCGGGAGATGGTGCTGATGAAGCCAGAGCGGCGACTTGAGGAGAACCAGAGACAACAGATGGAAGTGCAGAGACTGCTGGGAGAGAGATGTTATCGGCAGCAGATGTTGGAGTCGAGGAAGCAGCGGGATGTTTAGGACTCTGGCCTGTTAGAGGCGATGCCTCTTGGGGTCCTTTCAGTGGTGCCAATGCAGGAGGAGCGGAGACGACAGATGGAGACGCAGCTGAAGATAGAGGTGTTGGAGAGACCTGTGGACTTTTTGACCCCTGGGCCTCTGCCAGAGGAACTGTTTGAGGCGGCACAGGCACCGTTGGAGGATGCGCCAACATCTTAGAAGAAAACACCGCAGACTGGCTATGCGACACAGCAGGTGGAGCTCTGGAGCTCTTAGGAGAAGACATTGAAGGAGTTGTACTAAGTCCTAAAGGTGTCGCATCAGCTGATGAAGGAGCAGAGAGCTCAGGTCTTTGGCCTTGGACCGTCAGAGGCGGTGACGTGAGAGGGGAGTTTGGAGACACGTTTGTGCCGACACCCAAAGTTGTAGATGAAGCAAATCCTGACTGATTAGGCAGGGTCAATGTTTTACGAGGCGGACTAGCCAGTGGTGGAGGCGGTCCAGAGATGGAGGAAGAACTAAGCTCATTTGCGGCAGCTCCCATCTCCTGACGTTGTTTTGCAGGTTTCGCCAGGTCCACGGCTGGATGCTGCACACCCTGGTTATAGTCGGAAGAGGAAACAGGGCCAGGGGACTTTACAGGAAAACCATCAGTCAACCGTTGGGGTACAGAGCTTCTCTCGACTCCATTGAAGCCTTTATCAGTTTCTTTAAAGGACTCATTCATATGAACTACAGACCACAAAAAAAAAAAACACACGTTAGCAAGAAGCGCAAGAACCCAAAATTGTTCAGACACGTTCAACAATTCACAATCATTAGGCTACTTGATGCATGATTGGAAATGCAACTAAAATTGGATTTTTAGGTCAGAGACACGGCCTGGAAATTAATGCACTAGGCTGCCAATACACAGAATCTGCATTGATTTTCACTCCTGCTATTGTCCCATGTAATAAACTGAGGCATTCACTACACCATCAATGAGTAAGCAGTTTCAAAATCAGCATATGCATCAATGTGGAAACTACAGTAACTAAAGTAACGCCTCTAACGGTTGTAACCTCATGCTCCTTATGTTCAGCAGAAGAGCCATTTAAACACACCGAATACACGGCCAAAGCAAGTATACAAGTAAAATAAATAAATAAAAGACAGATCATCTTAATCTTAAATGGAAAGAACAGTATTGTTGATTGCTTTATTGTATCTAGGTTGCATGTGTTTTATTGCATCTAGGTTGCAAAAAAGTCATTTTCTGATGAGTGAGGCAGAATGTCGAACTAGGGCAAGACATTAGCTGTTAGACAATAGTGTAACACACTGTTAGTCAGTTTGAATCACTTCCTAATCAAAGAAGTCCTTTACCTTTGGTGAAAACAAGTCTGATCTGAGCAATGTCATTTCAGTCAGAGGACAGAATTACAATACCAGTGTTGGTGATATTAAAAGCCATTCAGGAAGTGCATTGCTCCACCAAAGAACAGGAAATCAAAGCAAGCATGCAGGATAATATCATGCTGCCATTTTTAAAATCACTTTACAAAATAATAATATAGTATAGTATTGTTTATATAATAATATTGTTTCCCTAAAGCATGGTTCTTCAAATCTGGCCCTGGAGGACCCTGCAGAGTTTAACTCCAACCCTGAGAAAATCACAAGTAGGAGAGTTTGACCAGGGTTTGGGCTGAACTATGCACGACAGGAACCCTGGTCATACAAATAAGACTTCATTAAGAAAAAAAAGAGTGATGGTTGGCAGGACAGGAGGGCCAGTTGCAACTCGTGTTTTTATCATAACTGGGGGAAAAATTGCACATCGATATTGAAATTACTAGGGTTGTCACCAGCTAATTGGTTGATGCCATCTTGGTCGACTGACATTCTTAATTCTATTCATTTTTACCAATATAAAGAAATTTTCAATGATTGTGTTTTACTCCTGGATATTTATTCCTTTATAAGCATTTATATATTACTGTATTCTAAATATAGGCTAATTAGCCTATGTTTTACCCCCACTTTATGCTTTAATTTAGGCCATTTTGTCACAGCGCCAGTTAAGCGCACCTGTGGCTGTCTTCGCTGCTGAATTCGTGCTCAATAAGGGATATAGGTAGTTTTTCTGTATTCATTCAGGTCACGCTACTTGTTTTGGCTTTAATGCTAACCTAAAGCTAACTTACCATAGCTCATCGACCAATATGGCATTCTGAAAAGTTGAGATGTTTTTATCTCGATGCGGCGTGGACGCACCACGGCGTGTTGCTTCCATTATGAGCGCACACATCTGAAATCGAACTTGAGCGCGCAAAAGACGCGAGTAGGCCCTTTAACGGCTTTATCATGCTGCTGCCTCAATAGATTGTGTTTTCTTAATGTTTTTGTTTTTATTTGTACACTTGACTCATTTGAAAATAGCCTAAATAATGTAACAAAATGAAAATAAACCTATATGCCTTCCTACAATACAGCCCATTACTTTTAGGATTGTTTTTTAGGCTATTTGGGTTTTTTGTGCGTTTGTTTTAAAATGCCAAGATCGGCTGGACAAAAGTTAAAGGGTTAGTTCACCCAAAAATGAAAATTAAGTCATTAATTACTCACCCCCATGCTGTACCAACCCCGTAAGACCTTCGTTCGTCTTCGGAACACAAATAAAGATATTTTTGATTAAATCTGAGAGCTGTATAACTACCACATTGGCTGCCTAAGGGACTGCCTCTTGACGGCCCAGAAAGTCAATGAAGAAAATGTTTAAATATTCCATGCGACTACAGTGGCTCAACTATAAGTTTATCAAGCGACGAGAATACTTTTTGTGCGAAAAAACAAACAAAAATAACGACTTTATTCGACTATTCCTTTTCTTCCTTGTTGGCCTGAAACGAGACTTCCTTAGATTTCCACGACACATGCGCGAGAACTGAACTGAAGTAGTTGAAGGAGATCGCAATTATATTTTTTGTAGCACGTGGTGTGGTCAGGTGCGCGATTGTGACGGTCACTATAGACCTAGGACAGTGCTCCTCACTTTTTGCAGTAAAAAAAAAAAAAAAAATCACTTAATTTTCAAAGAATTGTAGGCTATTATTATAACAGTTTTATGTATTTTTGACGTTTTTTCGTTGTTGTGTTATAAATGCTCAGTCAATTGTTTAAAAAAAAAATCAATAAAAACATTGCGTCTTTTTTTTTTTTTTAGTTGACTAATCGCTGTGCAGGACAATCCTTTGGTTGACTAAGGATTTCTTTGGTTGACTACAGCCCTAGAAAATACACAACCTTCGACACCTTTTTCCAACACACTAAAGCCTGTGTGGGACCATCTCACCTTGCATCTCTTTGCTCTTAGGCGAACCACTTTCAGACATTGCAGAAGGGGACCTCATTGGGACCTGCATGTGGTGGGGACTGCTCCTGCCTCCACTTCCCACGTGATGGTGCTGAGGGCTTCCTCGCGGAGGCGTAAAACTCTGCGTGGCGGGTGGTATCATCTGAGTCTGGGATTGAGACTGAGTCTGGGCCTGCGGTTGGGACTGGTGTGAAGGATGCTGGTAAAATGGCATTCCATTAGGCATCATGCCATAATGCTGCTGCTGCTGCTGCTGGTGTTGAGGGGATTGGTGGTGTGAATGATGTTGGAGATGATGTGTCGTTGCAGACTGGTGCTGCACGGCTGGAGGCTGCTGGTGATGCTGGGATGGTGGGATGCCAGGATGCCCCTGGTTGGGAAAAGTCCCATACATGCTGTGAGAGTTAAATCCCATGGACATCGAAGATCCCCCCTGCTGTTGCCCAGGATTACCCCTTGCCCAATACTGCGGCCCAGCACCAGGGGCCTGCCGGGACGATCCTACACTGCCGTTGACTTGGTACGGTCCATGCCCCTGGAAGTGGTGCTGAGGCTGCTGTGGTTGTATCCCCCCCTGGGAGCCTGGTTTCTGGTGCAACCCGTGGGGAGGGACAGGCCCCAAAGCTGGGTTGTACTGAGACTGGCCCCACAGGTAGTCATATCCAATGCTGCCTGGGAGTAGATGGCTGCTCATTTGAGGATATGAGGAAGAGGGAGGGTGGGCGCTGGGCTGGGTGCTCCCACCTGCAGTAGTAATGCCATTCACATTCATTTCGCCATTCAGATCTGTGTGATGAACAGCATCATTAATAAAGGCATCACATTTATCACATATATAACTTATTACGGTTAAAACATTTGGAATAAAACCAGCTTTTCAAATAAATCCTGTTCTATTCAAAGTATCAGCATATAAAGCAGTGTAGATGCTCACTTTTCCCTTGCTGGGGGAAGCTCATGGAGGACCCGTTAGTATAGAGAGAATCTCCTGAGGAATGCTTCAGTCCTGAGTTAACTGGCACAGAAGAGTGAGGCCCGTAGTTAAAATGGTTATTTGCTTCCATCTGTCGGAAGGAAAAAAAAAACATCACAGAATTAGATATGTGGCATATTTTTAGCATTAAAATACTTTCTCTTACGTCACGTTCACACACCGACAACAAGAAGCCATTTGTCGGATGATTTCCCTAAAAAGCGTAAACACGGTCTCTGCTTCTGAATATGCCTACTTCCCAGTGCTCCTAATTCATGGTATTCATAAAACCATTGGCAAAAAAGGGTCCAGCTGACTTAGGCTACTACTGATGGACACTTTACTATGCCATGAGGCCGGCACGGAAGAGGACTTGTGGATGGCAGTAAATTGAATGATGTCAGTGCCAACATGACAATAGTAGTGTCCGGATTATAATCATACTACATTGAATGCATTTCTTTAAAATTGTGGCGAAATTTGTTCCTCAACAAATTTAGTGCATACTTGGTATGTAGTTTCACGTACTATGACTCTTTCAGACAAAATTGCTCTACTTAAATATCTTGAACAAATACTGGCGTAACCAATCGCTTGAAAAAAATATTTAAGAAACCTGTTTGAAAACAATCATTTCAGACATTACATTAGTCATGATAGACAAAGCTACAGTAATGCACATACTATTGTTTACCTTGGTGTCTCACACTGTCAAACCAATTAAAAATAGGCTACATCTTTACCAAAAATTTCAGTAAACGACCAACTTTTGTCCTGTGAAAACCACACGCTTCACCTTAAAGGAGTAGTTCACTTTTTAAAGAACTTTTGCTGATAATTTACTCACCCCCATGTCATTCAAGATGTCCATGTCTTTCTTTATTCAGTCGAAAAGAAATTAAGGTTTTTGATGAAAACATTCCAGGATTTTTCTCCATATAATGCACTTCATTGGGAACCAAACAGTTCAAGGTCCAAAGGACAGTTTCAGTACAAACTGCAAACTGTTCAAAGGGTTTTAAACTATTTCAGATGATGAATAAGGGTATTGTCAAGCGAAACGATCACTCATTTAATAAATAGATAACAAAGTTTACTTTGCTCAAATGGTTGCCGTGCTCTGTTATGTGATGCACGTTTGTGACTCTCCTATTCGAACTCGTTCATCAAAATGAACGAATCTTTTTTCGAGTCATTTGGTTCATTCAACGAATGAAACTAACAAATTGACTCGGTAAAAGATTTGTTCATTTTGATGAACGAGTTCGAACAGGAGAGTCACGAACGCACATCACAAGAAAAGAGCAAGGTGACAATTTGAGCTTATAAAACTTTTTTTTTTTTTTAAATGAGCGATCGTCTGGAATCGTTTAAAAGCCTTCGAACAGTTTGCACTGAAACTGTCAATTGGACATTGAACCGTTTGGTTCCCATTAAAGTCCATTATATGGAGAAAAATGCTGGAATGTTTTCATCAAAAACCTTAATTTCTTTTTGACTGAAGAAAGAAAGACATGGACATCTTGGATGACATGGGGGTGAGTAAATTATCAGCAAAAGTTTTTTTTTTTCAAAAGTGAACTACTCCTTTAAATGAAACCTAAATATAGAGAGTCAAGGACAAATTAGTTTAAATTTTCAAAATAACCAGACTCGTATTTCAAAATTTTAGTAAAAAAACTGCACTCAAACTCTCATTTAACCCAAGTAAAGAGCGTTTAATGTTTATGAACCAGAGGTGTACAGTGCTTTAGTCGGTGGCTGTGTTCCAATGCCTAGTGAGTGATCTACCTACCTAACTATATGGATTTTTTTCAGCATTGTTGACGCGTTCATAACGTTCTAATTGGATTCTCGCACACCGAACGTTCGGACCGCTTCAGCGACGCGCAGGTAGACGACAAGCCGGTGTACGGGGGTTTGAGACACAGCCAGCGAGCACTGCTCTGGCGGACATCACAAATTTTGCTCTTCACATCTCAACATAAAATGTCGCAGATAAAGCCGATGAGATGCGTTAAACAACACACATCACACGCACACACACATGCAGAACACCGGTCTCAAACTCAATTATACTTTAAACACATTAATAAGTTAGTCCTAGTAATTTTTTTGGGGGGGAAGCTAATTTAAATGACCAGATATTTTAATGTATAAAGATCAAACCCAACGCTAATTATTTTATGCGTCTGCATCATTAACTGCACAGCTAACAGTAACGTTAAACATCTCAAAACCGAAGGATTTCATTCAGAAATGGCTGTTAATGCGACATATGTCACTAAAAGGCAACACAGACTGCAAAAGAGTGATATTTCATTAAATATTATAGTAGGAAATGTTAATAAGGAGAAGAGGGAGATGTGTGAATCGGTTAGCACGGAGGCTAATGGCCATGCGCTGCTTCTGGATCTCAGACACACACAATATACGTATATATATTTATATATCCACATTTGATTAAACTTCTCCAACACTAAAACATCACAACTCAAGGTAAACCAGCTCATATCCACACTTACTCGATTTCTTCAATCGCTTTAATGTAATTCTAGTCTTGTATCAGCACATATTAAGCCAGAAAAAGAAGAAAAAGCAACGAGATGCGGCCAAACAACCAACACACAAACGAAAACAAAAAGGACTTTGCTTGAACATGAATGATTAATTATGTCCCAAGACCACAAAGATGAAGGAAAGACAACTCAATGATGCTCGTAACTAAAATCTAGCGATACACACACACTTATAAAACGATATTTCGATATGAAGTTTGATTAAAGTGCTCGGTTATTAATATCAGCGGTGATGATGACATGACAAAATGAGGCCTGCGTTCCGCATAACAACGATTCATCACGACCGTTTATGAGCTTTGAAACAATATTCGCCGATTATCATGCATGTTAATTCAATATTTTGGAGTATGAATGAAATTATTGGCGAATTTAATTTAACAGTGTCGACGAAAAGGGTGTAAATGAAAACAGCAGGTCTTATTTACATAACCACGGGCTTGAGCGTTATTTAAATAATTAAAGACGATAAACGCACAGATAAAACGGACTGATTATATAAATACAAGAGGGTTTGTGATCTCGAAGACATTATGAGTGGCTAATGTTTTAAAAGCTTGCCTGTGCAAATGCAATATTAACAAATCATCACGTCTCAAAACGTCATCTTTCGTTGATTAATTCGCGTTATTTTCCCGATATACGGTTAGAGAAAATGAGGTAGCATCATCATCACCCACACAACACACTCTCAAAAGTTTCCCCCGTATAATGATAATAAAACTGCCCAACCTTGATATGTGCCGATCGCACAGGAGACAGGGGTTCTGGTCCCCCGGCAATGGACCAGTGTTGATGAAGAGAGTGTAAGCGATGTAAATAATAAACGGCTAAATCGCTAACCTTTGGGTTTCAGATTTGCAAACATGGCTGGTAATGTTTGAGCGCAGCCATGATCATATAGAGAGAAAGAGAGCGAGCCGAAAGAGGAAGTGGATGACGGTTAGACGACCGCGTGCCTCCGGGTCTTAGCGCCGACTAGCGCACTACGGGCCGAACAAACCAGTGTTGAGTTGACCCACAATGCCTTTGTGGAAAAGAAGTGTTCAGTTCTAGACTCCTGGGACCCAGACTTTTTAGGGATTATATTTAAGGGAATTTATCTGACACCAATTTTACATTCAGGGCTTTTCAGAGACAGGTTTCATCATGACAACAACAACTTCCCTTTAAACACGACTGACATTAAATCTAGTCTCTTGTGGAAATAATATTTTGTACAATTTAAATCTGACTTATTTTCAAATTGTTTGTCATAAATCAGCATCTCAGGAAAATGTAATGCGATTTCTAACTGTTACGAAACATGGCATTGTTTTTTATACATGTCCAGGCAACAGGACTGCAGGTATTTTGGGAGACAGCAAAAGCAAGTGAACAGGGAAATCAATTACATATCAATATTACTTTGAATATTTGATATTAGTATGAAAATGTTGTCAATTATTACTCCCTTTATTACAGTTCTTATCTTATTGCAAGTTTTACCCACATATTGTATAAAGTAAAATGGTATCCTATTCATTCCATTATACCTTTCATAATGAGAATCATATTTATTCAAAGTTTGGTTAAACAAATCCTGGAACCTAAAATTGATTGGTGGATGAAAAAAAAAAATCAAGTTGTTTTTGCCTATACATTTCATTTCATTTGAGCCCTGGGGCCTGTACCATGGTAGTTGAACAAACTCAGAGTTGCAGGATTAGTTTCGACTTGACAAAACCAAACCAATCCAACCAGGCTTTGTTGGTACCACATGATGCTGATCATCAACTTTCTCTGTCAACTCAGGCTTTGATCCTGAGTTTAGGAGTTTAGGTAGCGAACAGCCAATCACATGCTGAGAAAGAGTGAAACTCATTCAAAACTCGTTGAAATTAATTTCTCTCGAGAGAAATAGCGCAATTCTTTTATTAAATAAAAGTATTAAAATATTAAGAATTTAAACAAATTTACACAGTAAGAAGAAAATAGCTGTTTGTGAAAGAGGACAACTAAAAGAAAGTCTCGCTACTGTATATCAGTGCAAGTCAAAGTTGTGAAGTTAGTTTATACAGTTGATAAAGGTATAGAGAGAATTGAACATTTAAGCTCATGTAGTCATTTTATAGCTTTGTTTATTGATTCTAAAGCGTATTTATATCACGTTTTATATATGTATACATTTAAAATCTGCGTAACAATAATTGATGAACTGAAATTGTACATGTGAGATCGTTTTAGGATATAAAATCATACAAATTTGTTGCTGTGGAGTGACTTTATTGCGTCATACATGTGTCACTGTGCTCACAGCTGATTGGTTACTATATTTACTATAAACACTGCTAAAAGCCAAACCACTTTCATGGTACCTAAACCACAGCGTTGGCACAAACTGAAACATAGCTGGTATAGCCACCTAAAAGATTTTTTTTTCTTCATTAGTTTTTTATGCTCTAAACAATGTTTTTTCCTGGGTCCCGGGAGGATATTAAATATGCGTGTGTAGTGCACTTCAAATCTTAACAGAATATTTTTTATTTTTTTTTTAAAAAACAAATACATATGTTGCAGATAATATATATATTTATAAATGTAACAATATTGTAAAAAAAAATCATTATGTTTTAGTATTTTTTCTGTGCTTCAAAGTATTACACACTTATTTAGGTTTTTACATGTTACATTTAAAGTAAATAAATGTTTATATTTACATTTATCTGACGCTTTTATCCAAAGTAACTTACAATTGCTATATATGTCAGAGGTCGCAGGCCTCTGGAGCAACTAGGGGTTAAGTGTCTTGCTCAGGGACACATTGGTGTCTCACAGTGGATTCAAACTCGGGTCTCTGACACCAAAGGCATGTGTCTTATCCACTGGGCCATCACCACCCCACCAAATTTTAAATATATTTGCAACTTTATCATTACAGCTATGTAATACAAATATAATTTAGGCATGACACACAAGTTTTGGACACAAGTCATGGCAGTATTCAGCACACTTTCTTAATGGGTCAAATAAGGACTAACTGCATTTAATATAAATGTAAACTATAATACATTTCCATAGTTGCAATAAACATGCAATTAAAATACATTCAATTTACATCCTAAGTATACTGATGTATAAGTTGAACCTTTTAACTGTTCAAAATATTTAACAGCTAACCAATTTTATGCCATATATATATATATATATATATATATATAGAATGTATATATACTCATTCTATAAATGTGATATTGCCTGGTTTCACAGACAAGGCTTAAAGGGTTAGTTCACCCAAAAAATGAAAATTCTGTCAGTAAATACTCGCCCTCAGGTTGTTCCAAGACTTTCGTTCATCTTCGGAACACAAATTAAGATATTTTTGATTAAATCTGAGAGCTGTCTCACTCCTCCGTGGGCTTTGTTTAATTGAAACTGGCCGGCCAAGAAGTTAGTAAAAACATAGTTAAAATAGTCCAAGTGACTACAGTGACTCAACCTTAAAGGGATTCTTCACCTCTGGAAAGATGAATGTGTATTTAAAATGGGTCATTTATGTAGAAGAAATGTGAAATTATTTTTGAATTTGGAGCTTTCTAGACTGAGAAAAGCCAGAAAATGTATTTTTGGCTTATGTGGATAAAAGACAACAACTCCCAGAATGCACTTGCTTCACTGCCCTTGGAGGCCACCCCTACCAGCAACAGACCGCAGTAGTTAAATAACAAGTCTAGGCTACTAGTGAGTCTCTGTGATGAGTCTGCCCGAAAATGTGTTTCGAGATCGCCCAAAATGTCAGGGATTCAGCTTTTGCGTTCTACAGTCGCCATTTATCATGTTTACTGTGGCGAGCTGGACGAGTGAGGGAGAACGGCGAGGCCGGTCGAGTGATTGCCAATGAGCGACACCTGTGGTCCACCGGTCTCGTATCTCTCACAGAGGAGCGGGAATTTTCTTCATGTAGGCTAAACACTACATTCAGATTCACCAATTGCAACGAATTCAGTTAGATTGAAACAAAAGCTGTGCATTTAAACAATGAATGGTGACTGCAGAAAGCAAAAGTTGAATCCCGGACATTTTGTACGAGGATGGTGACCCCTGCTACTCATCTTTCTCCACAGAACAAGAGCCTGCTAGCTTAGCTTCCTAAAAAAGATGTCTGACGCTATGTGTTCGTTCTGTGAGTGAGATCTCGCCCTCTATGGGGTTGAGGACATGCGGGACAAACCCTACTACTGACTGTAGTCTTTAGCCTCTGGCCAAAAAAATCCTGCAATGACGCAAAATGACAATTTTTGCGTCATCTGAGGATTTTTTCCAGATAAAAAATACATAAATCTCTCGTCTCAGGGGGATATGAGGGTGGAAAGTGAAAATAGCTACAGGTTTTCTACTAAAACAAAGCTTAATGATAATCCTGAAGTATCCCTTAAGTTTATCAAACGACGAGAATACTTTTTGTGCGTAAGAAAAAAAAAACAACTTCATTCAACTATTAATTTTCTTATGTGTGTAACAGCACAGCGCTTCTGGGTTGTATGTCAGAACGTAGGCTAACTGGCCAGCATCACACACATGACCAGTGTCGGCCAATAGTAAATAAATGATTTGTGTTTTGGCCATTCATTTACACGATAACAGCGTTTTGGTGCCCTGGAAACACAAACTTTTGAAAATGTGTTTCAAAGTGCAAGTTATTATAAAACGTTAGGCCCTACCGTTATCATCTATCTCTGCGTAGCCTAAACTACAAAAACATGAACTTCACGTCAGGCGAATCATGCTATTAAGTGTTCAGAAGGTGTAGTGTTTCTTTACAAAGTCTGCGGATCCGCATGAACGGGATCGTTTTGACCAGGCTGTTCACATCCCAAGACGTCATCTAACTGACGCTTTGACCATACGTCAACATCTGACGTTTTAGGGCACCTAAAACGTATGGTCAAAGCGTCAGTTAGATGACGTCTTGGGATGAGAATGTGTTATTTTGACAATGGTTCATCTGTACGTAAAAAACGCAAAGGAATTTTTTTTAACGTTTTTTTTCGTGTAAATGTGCTCCAGTTGTAATTACGATCAAATTCTCACAATCCATTTTAATAAAACTTACTCATATTTTATATACCCAAACAACCCAGACAGCAACATTGTGTCGCTCCGGACCACATCTGATACGTGTGGATTCCACGCATACCAGTTGTGGGTCGGATTTGGGCCAACACTATGGGAACATGCTACTGGAGCAGACGTCAAGGATAACGAGTAGAGCGCAGAGTGGAACGGAAAGGGTCCGGCTTTAGGACCCAGAGCGCGCTGATCGTCAGTCTGGAGCCGAATGGATGCGCAGCCAGAATGCGGCGGTAGGAAGTGATGGTCCGCTACGGAGAGGGAGAACCGAGGCCATGTCATTCATCCGATAATAAGGCAAACATAACATATAAAATCACTGTAGGTGGCCACAATTCTAACATGGTAGAAAATTATGCACAGGCAGGACACATCCTCGGCTCGTGTGAAGTATCCGAGTCCGCATGTAGTCATTGGGCGAGCGCGTGCATTTTTATGAACCTGTTATAGTACCTCCCTCGAGTGACCTGACGGCATAATGTTGCAAAAAAAAAGAAAAAAAAAGAAGGCGAGGTGCTAATGATTATGAAGTACGCCACTGGAAATACGGAGTTGCTGGTAAAAACCTGTCTATGGTTAAAAACTCATTTGGGCCCACTGGAACTTCCCTTGCTAATGTGTTTTATCACTATTATGCATTTGAACAGTTACTTGAATCCTGGTTGCCTGAATATTACCCTATAATCACTGACTATTTTCAAATCCTGTACATTGAAAGGGCATCTAAACTAATTACATTTTTGGCAATTCACCCAGAAACGAAACATGTCACAATTTTCTCATCCTCGTGTCATACAAAAAAACAAAATTCC